AGCACGAGACTGAGGTTATGCTGGGGAATAAAGACTGGAGAAAAAGAAAAACCGAGGCCGGCAGGTTTTTTTTTTGCTTAATTTGCTTTATCTATGTTTACATGTACGCAAAATGAGAATATTCCAGAATTACCGTAAGAAAAACTTTATATCATGATTTCTTATCGAAAAAAACCCTACTCTGGAAGAATAACCCGTTACAAGTTTTTATTGAAAAATTTTCAAAGAATAACCCCAAATTTTACTGTCGAGGTTTTTTTTAAAGTCTTTCTTCCCCAGCATTACCGAAGTCGAGGACTTTATCTTGCTTGTCTTGCTTTGCCTATGTTTACATGTACGCAAAATGAGAATATCCCAGAATTACTGTAAGAAAAAGCTTATATCATGTTTTCTTATCGAAAAAAAACCTACTCTGGAAGAATAACCCGTTACAAGTTTAAAGAAAATTTTCAGAAGATTATCCGCAAATTCCCCTGTATATATCCAAAGCCGCCCTCGATTTTCAGACCGCAAGTTTTTCTAGGATAGAATATACCCCACAGAACAAAGAGATTTGCCGTTATAGGTTTATAAAGGCTAAGAATTGTTAGTAGGGAGAAAATAAGAAGTTTAATTTTTTCAAGGTTATGCGACTTTGTTGCGAAATCTTGTTAGTACCATTGAAAACAATTAGCGGTGGTTTTCGATGGGCATGTCAAGAGTTCTGGCAAGATCAACAGTTCCATTGGTTGACCCAGAGATCTTAACCTTATTCGACTCACTGTGGGGCTTTCACTCCCGCCTGCTGCTTTCTACAGGGCCACTTTTACACCAAAAGAGGCTCCGTTGGGTATTTTCAGATCAATCTAAATATCTGAATGCCACACACCCATAGTGCGTTTTGTTTGCAAAAAAAAAAAAAAAAAAAAAAAATAATATTTTGTTGCAAACGATGGATATTAGTATTTATTTTAGGCAATTAATAGTTTTAAGGTCTAATGAATCCCCACATTACCATGTGTTTCCAACAGATAGTTTGTTTTGTAACTGTGATTACTAAAATAAGAATGTGCACATCTTCCGTATAAAAACCATGAAGGTGAGCTTCAGTTCCCACCAGACCAGTAAAATTATAATTGCTTTATGTTACAATAATAAGAAGACGTGTTCATATCGTGTGTAATCGTAGGTCAATCTTCAGGTCCATAAGAGATAGACATGAAGCTACTTGAGTAATGTTGGTTATGGTAATAGGTATGTTTTGTGAACTAACAACCTAGTGTGCTTATAAATACGTGTAGTAGTCTTTTGTGCCTTTAATCATGTTCGGGTTGCATAGTAATAAATTCAAGCACTGGTGGACGCACATGGGCAACGACCTTTCTCTTCTGGTTTCCTTGTACTAGATTTCCTTTCATTATTTTGTTAATTCCTTTTGTTTTTGTATAAATGTATTTTGTTTAATTTCGGCATATTTTGTTTCGTTGTTTTGGCATGGTTCCTCACGTCACAAGTACTCGTCAAGGAGAAAGGTATATATTCAAGGGGCAAGATGTATTTAAGCTTCAGTTCTCTTGAAAAGGATCTCTGTCGGGCAAATTAAAATTTGTACCGGATATTAACAACAGCAATTATCGCTATGCAATAATTGAGAGAACTTTATATAGTGTCACCCCTGTTATATAAACTTTTTTACTTACAATTTACGAGTACAACTGAGTACAACATCGCCTTGAGCAAGATCGGATTTTAAGTAGGCGAGTCTATGATTATTTTAAAGTAATATTGAAAATAATTCCATTTATTGTCTTGGTGACAGTGATAGCGCCTCTTGAACCGTTGAAAACTAATTTATCTTATTTTTAATTTCAGAAAGTTTATATTGTATCTGTTACTTTGTCACTAATCTTTTCTCAAGGGGAGGGTGTCTCCATCTTTGGGTGCCGAAAATGTCTTGAAAATAATAATGATGTAAACTACGATGGGCTGCACTGTCTTCGTTGTATGTGTGACCAGGAATGTATTTTTTACGGAGACTGTTGTGTTGATATAAAGATTAATAATGGTCTTCATACAAAGGAAATACAGTCGGATTTCACCTGTATCGCAACCGAGGTCGATTCAAAGTTCCGATTTAAAGACCTATCACAGGGTGATGGTTTCTATATGGTTGCTAACTATAAACGCCAAGATGGGATTTTAGAAAACTGTGACTATACGGTCCTACCCGTTTCTTGTCGCAAAACTGGCAAAACATACGTCAACAATCAATGCGCATTTCTTAACAAAGAAACTTCATGTTCAAACTGGAATATTCGAGGCGAATGTAACTACAATATGTACAATGAGGCTGTCTGCGAAGATAACATTGTTCCACCACAATTTGCAGAATTGAGATACTGTGATATTCGGAGATCGGAACCAATAATTTCTCAGTGCGATCCGAAATTCCCAGCATTATACCAAAGATATTCTGACAGTTGTACCAAATACTTTTTGCTCGTTCAGAAGGTAGACAACGGTAAAGTTTACAGGAACGTGTATTGCGCCATTTGCAATGGTTGGATTGCGGCTTCTTATGGGGTTAAATCCCGTGTCCTCATCCCTGTGAAAACTCTAGTTGATTTCACAGATCAGCTTGTGAAATGCGACGGAAGGATTTCTTGGATGGATATTCGAGCGGTAAGTATCTTAAAAGTATAGCATTACACTGTTTATTAATAGCGTAGGTCTGGTGCCCATACATGAAATTATATAAATACATAACAAGTGTCTGAGCCATAAAGACTGAAAAATGAAATTTGATGGATATTATATATATTTACGCATTTCAGATGCAAAATTATGACAGAGTAAAATCACTGAACATTTATATAAATCACAACTAGGTCCTTTTGAATTCGACCCCTGGTATAAACCTTAACTATGCTCTCTTATAGTGTCATTGATAGTATGATATGAGAGTTAAACACCACAATGTTACGTTGGTACTACCATTGTGGTATACGAGAGCTGGCTGAAGAGTTCTAAGTCTATCTGTGAAATACATGTACAATGTTGATTGTATTCATTTATTTTTCTACACAGTCCCCTTCGAGGTGTACGCAGTTTTATCAACGGTTTTGCAAGGCCCGGATGCTGGTCAGGAAGAATTTTTCTTCAGCCACCCAAAAAAATGTGTTTACAACTGACATGACGTCATCATTACTAGGAAATTGATTGAATTTTGGATTCCGGTTGAAAGTGATAAATCCAGGTCTCATCCATGGTTACAAATCTGGCCAAAAAATTATCAGGATCTGCCTCAAAACGGTTCAGATTGTCGCGGGGGTTCAGTAATCTGACACGTTTCTGATCTGCTGTCAAGAGTTTTGGCACCCATCTTGCAGAAACTTTTGTCATTCCTACTTCGTTTACCATAATGTGGTCAGCCCCCTTAGGAGAGATGCCCACAACATTGGCAATATGTCGAGTGGTCAAATGTCGATCAGCAATCTTGAATGGTTGCTGTTGATGGCCTTCTAGGCGCGGGTCAAGGATTTCTCTGCAACGTTTACATTCCGCAGCCAACTCTCTTTACTGTGGAAAAATACGGCGAATCATGTCACCATGTATCTGTGTTGGGTTTAGTCCTTTCAGTTGCAAGTACTTGGTGACTGTCCTAAAGCCAGTTTTGTCCATTTCCGGTGATTTCAATGGGTAAGTTCACAAGATGGCCTGCTACGAAAACAATAATAACACTACAGTTGCAATTCTTATGCCTATGATTAATTCAATGAGTGTACTTGTTGGTGGAAAGGGTTGTTTCAACTCAGTTGATCAATCCTTTTCAGGCTTAGAACTTTCCTTCCAACCTTCGTATCATTAATTCGCGTGCAGTCATGAGAATGATTGACTTCGTGCATCTATTGTAAAATACGATATTAAAAACAAAAACATTAAATGCCAATACGTTATATAGAGATCACAGGCATATTTCAGCAAGTAATGGTTATTCCTATTGGTTACCAATTGTGTCCCAATACCCGTTAATTCATTTCCATAAGTCTTCGAGACGCTGGTTAAATTAAATTCACGGCCCCTTTCAGACAAAAAGAAACCACTTGATTTGTGATTTTTACGTATATTATTTGTATTGATAGTGGAAGTATGATTTAGCACACATTACTAATTACCTACATCTGCATTTATTGTTATATTATTTACTTTTAGAACAAATGTCGACCCATTCAGTGTTACTCTAATAAGGTACTAAGAGGTGGATATTGTGAGTATGATCATATGACAGCATTGGGTAATACCTACCAAATGATGATTGATTTAAAGATATCAACCAGAGATCGGGTTCCATTCTTTAAACAAATGATAGGAACATAATGATGAAAACATCGTTAATGATGCACTCTACTGATTATACAGTCACTACTTCGAAACCAGTGTTGATCGGGGATTCTTCCTACATATATATAAATGTTTGGTTTATCTTGAACAGCAACATCACATTAGAGGACCTTGAAACTGATTTTTCCTATGGTGTTGGTCGAACATACGTAGCTTCAGCTTTATCATATGATCATGAAATAAATTATACATATGTATCTCACGCGCAGTCTATTATGCGACATTTTGTCTCAAACATTACCACGAAGTTATGTTGTTCAGATAAGCCAGTTTCACAGGTCGGAGAAATAATAGCCACCAAATCCAACTATGAACCACTAAGCCATCAGATGTCATGTTCATTTATCGAATTTTCTAATAAAGAGTTTGATGCCTATAATAAAGTGGCATATGTGAAACATCTCAATCTTACCTTATCTGATGACGAGTTTTCATTATTTCAGCATGACCTTCGAGTATGTTTTGAAACGTTTCTTAATAAAACCAACTTTACGCACAGTAACGAAACCGTAGAGTACACTGACACCTACACAAGCTATGGTTGGATTCTTCGTTATTTAACTATTGTTTTAATCAGCCTTTCTTTGGTATCTATATGTATTGCGTTAATAACGTATGGTATGTTCCGAGAACTGAGAACACAGCCAGGCATCAATAACATAGGGTTAATGCTAAATCTTTTTCTTGCCCAGTTAATCTTAATTACGGGCCTGGATCAAACACAAGATAAAATATTGTGCAGAGGTATTGGAATAAGCATCCATTACCTCTGGCTCAGTATGGCACTATGGATGAATGTGTGTACCTTTCACATGTTCAAGGTATTTGTGTTACAGAAACTGGTAAGATATTCTGCCCTGTCTCACAGTATTCAGACACTGAAGTACACTGCTTATGCCAATGGGTTACCAGTGATACTGATAATTTGTATAGTTATTACAAGTGTCCAGTTGTCAGGGGGAATGGAGATAGGTTATGGGGGTAATGTGTGTTATCTATCCTCTAAACAACTTGTTGGTTATTGTTTTGTTTTACCCCTATGTCTCGTTATTATCCTAAATGTTGTTTTCTTTTTTTGGACAATTATCTCCATCTCTCGTGTGAAACAACAGGGAAAACAATTTGGTGAACGAAACAATATTGTAATTTATACAAAGCTTTCTGTTCTTACGGGTCTGTTTTGGTTGCTAGCTGTTATATCAAATTTTATCACCAGTTGGACTTTAGAGTATATGTCTGTAATTTTTAATGCTTCTCAAGGGGTTTTCATTATGTGGTCCTTCATTTTAAAGAAATCTGTGCTTTCTAAGTGGAAGCAAAAACTAATAATTGCGTTTGAATCTGGCTCAATTGAACAGGCGACGACATCTAGCCAACTTAAGTCAGTGTAGATCTGGCATGAAGCATAGTCAGGGTTTTCACCCATCGTTGACATACTTAAAGCTCTGACATATTTGCATAGCAGCTACATGTTGGTCTGATTGATTGCAGATAGGACGTTAAACTTTCAATGCAATACATGGAGGACTTACCCATTAGAGAATACGGGTGATACCCCCCCCCCCCCCCCAGCATCAGATTTTTCTACTCTGTCGGGATCCATTAGTGGCCACTCGAATAGAATTATGATCAGATAAAAAACAGATTGAGTCCCCAGCCCATCAAACTAAGCGCCGCTTTTATAATGTTTTGCATTTTTAGATTAGGTCAGCGTATAGTTTGCATCTCCCTGTGTTTGGCTACTCTGTTGTTGTCATCCTGTCATGTGCTGCATTTTTAGATAGGGTCAGCGTATATTGCCCATCTGCCAGCGGTCACTTTCATCCATGCTTTGGTTACTGTATGTTGAGACCTTGCATTTCTGCTGGTGTAGGTCATATTTTTCGATGCGTTTTGAACTAGTCAGTTTCACCATCCCATGGAACATTTGTGTCTCATCATATCGCCCAAGGTGGAAGCGGTATCGGTGTAGTGGTTGTGTATTGTTGATGGGTTGCTTTCTCTATCGCTTGATTCCTTCCACCAGTTTTAGTTGTGTGCTAGTGCGAACCAACGTTTTCGGCAAGTCTTATATTGGTTAGTGTAGTAGTAGTAGTAAATTGAATATGTGAATTTCTGTGTTCTCCAATAATAGACTTAAAGATTCATTATGTAAAAATTAGATAAAGATTTGACCATTCTTGATATAATAGCTCAAAAATAGATAAAGTAAAATGAAAATATTGTAAATTTCATTTAAATTACTTTTCTGAGCCAAGTTATCACTGTTTGCAATGTGGTAACCAGGACACTGGTATATTCGAGACTTAGGCTCGCTTTCCCATGTTTAAATTAAATTTTTAAACGGCGAACCGTTCTAATCTAGTTAAAATCTCGAATATCCGATGCCATCATGAGTTAATTATGGTCTTGTTTTGTTAATAGTTTATAGTTTATATAACATTTCAGGCTTAAAGAAAGACCAGCAATAGGAAGATTTGGCTAATGCATAATATATGTTTAAGAGAGTCAAATGTTGGTATAATTATCATATAATATACGCTCCACTATACATTATTGGAATTGTGACATATACGCTTATCTCCAAATGATTGATTAGAAATACAACTTATAACCATGTTTAATAAATAAACCGTAAAGTGGGATGTCATAAAGTTTGACATTTAAAATCTGTATTATATTTATAATGTATATAATAACTTGGCGCATTTATCAATTTCATTACTTGTAATTATTATCCTTAAGTAGCCCTTGTAATTAATATCCTTATATAAATCTAGAATAGTTGGTATGCTGTTTCTATTATTTTTTAAAAATATATTAAAATATATTATTTTATTGGTAATATTAATGTGTCCGTACCACACATTATTTAACTATCACATTTATATCATAGTTTGTTGATTGAAATGGCTTGTAATATATATTTAGAATCAATGATAATATGAATTTTTAAATTAATGTCATATTATATATTATATTATTTATAACCTTTTGTTTTACGTTACCCGATATTATTTATAATCCATTGCCATGGAAATATATCATTCTTCGAATGTATATGTGTATGGTTAAATTTTAATTTTTTATACACCCACATTTTCAAGTGGAAACAAGGCGATACGTTTCAAGTCAGTAGCTTGAAGCGTATATATGGTATTAGTGTCAGTGGCCTGTGGCACGAAGTAACAGTATATTGTCGCATACATAATATATTATGTCAACGCTTGGGCGATATAATATATTATGTCAACGCTTGGAACTAGGATGGAGGTGACTAGGCATGAACTTGCAACGATAGATTTAATTGGCGCTTTGATAACCAATGAATGCTTGTTTTTTTCTTTTCTGTTTTTTCTCTCTTTTCTGTGTCCTAACCCTAACCCTAACCCTAACCCTAATCCGAAAGAAAAGTGCCCTTTTTTGAAATTCTGACATCACAGGTGCCCTTTTTCTGATAAGGATGCCCTCTTTTATTTACAGGGACACTTTCTATGGCTCTGATGACGCGTACATTCCACTGAGTCTACAGGTCTAATATGCTAACACGCTTGGAGCGTCAACACAATATATTATGTCGCCCAAGCGTTGACATAATATATTATGTATGCGACAATATACTGTTACTTCGTGCCACAAGCCACTGACACTAATACCATATATACGCTTCAAGCTACTGACTTGAAACGTGCAAGGTGTGGAAACATTATGCCGTCACCCCTGTCCGTCCTGTCCGTCCGTCCGTCCGTCAAATTGTTTGTGGACACTTTACAGGTCACAATTTTTATTGGATTTTGAAGAAACTTGAAATATAGGTTTATCTCCCAACGATCTCTGTTCTTTTCAATATTGGCATGTATCTGGCCGTAACATCATGGATTATGACCCTTGATTGTACGAAAAATCACGTTTTTAATTTGTGGACACTCTAGAGGTCACAATTTTCACCCGACTTTGATGAAACTTGCAATTATGGCCCCTGATTGTACGAAAAATCGCGTTTTTAGTTTGTGGTCCCTCTAGAGGTCACAATTTTTATCCAATTTAAAAAAAAACGTTCGAATATATCACCGTTACATCGTAATGTCGGTTGAGTTCGAAATTCGTGAAAATCGGACAAAAATTGCCGGACAAAATGGCCACCCCTCGTACGCAAATAGTGTAAAAAATATGGTATATCAAGGTTGTGGACCCTCTAGAGGCCACAATTTTTATCCGATTTTGATGAAACGTTAAATTTAAGCATATATCACAAAGATTTGGGTTCTTTTTGGTAATTGCGCATATCTGAACGTAACTTCCTGGATTATAGAACCCGATTGTTCGAAAAATCGCACTTTTAGCTTGTGGATTCTCTAGAGGTCACATTTTTTTTTTATCCGATTTTGAAAACTGTTTAAATATATAACCATTCAACCTTAATGAAGGTTGAATTCGTATTTCGGGAAAATCAAAATGAAACTGCGAACAAAATGGCCGCTCGTTGTACGCTAATTGTGTAAAAGTATGTAATACGAAGGTTGTGGACCCTCTAGAGGTCACAATTTGTATCCGATTTTGATGAAACTTGAAATGTATCTTTATATCCCACCGATCTCACTCCCTTTTGATATTTGCGCATTTCAGACCATAACTTTCTGGATTATGGCCTCTGATTGTACGAAAAATTGCTTTTGTTTTTAGCTTGTTCTCTGTGCATCTCTTGCAAAATGTGGGCGTATCGTTCCTGGCAGCCGTTTGTTGTAAATCAATGTCATATTATGTATTATATACGTTATAACCTTTAGTTATACATTACCCGATATTATTTATAATCCAATGCCTTGGAAATATGTTATTTTTCGAATGTATATATATTGTTAAATTTTAATTTTTTGTATATATTATTAGTACCCGAAGACGCCTGTAGAGGGCAGACAGCTAGTTTATATGATTTAATGTATGTCAGAATGAAGTAAAGTGGTTAATGTTTTACTTGGACGTATTTTGTATTTGTTTATATATTTATCTACCGTAAAAATAGAAGTACTCGTAGTTTATATACTGTATGTAAATGTAATTAAAACATAGAATTTTCCATCTAAATCTTAGCATTTTTTGGTATATAATCCTGGGAGTTGAATTTACATTAATCTTTCTCCTTTTTACAATTATATTACTTGTAATTATTATTGTCTATTATACATCTACTGGTATGCTGTTGTTAATAGTAATAAACTTTAGTTCTAACCATTGAATTTATACGATTTCTATAGGGCAGCCATGGTATCAGTTTGGTACCCCCCGCCCCCTAGTAATAATAGTAGGTTCATAATAAAATGGATTTATTGTCTTGCGGAACGTTGTTTCAATATTTACTACAGACCAACAGTGCAGCTGGTGTCACCCCATATGTTTTAATCCCTTCAAGTGCCTGTGCTAATTGGCCCCAGACAAATCAAATTGTGTTGACATGGCATTTAGTGGCAATCATTTCAAGATAAAAATTGATAGCCTTAAATTGACCCAGGGGTGTAGGTCAAGATGCACACCCAGCAAATAAATATTGACTTCAACCACAAAAAAAACATTTATATATGATAGATCATTTATTGTCATTTATATAAAACAGAGAGATTATTTTACATACAAACTATTTACAATTTATCAGTATGTACATGTTCTAATAAAAAAAAGACTTTAATTTTCGCAGAAAGTTTAATACTCTGAATCTCAATATATTCTCTTATTATCTTATCTCTGTGAGGTCACTGATAAGAAAATCATTTGTATAGCCATCTTTTGTCAATATATGTGGTAAACAAATCTAATAAACCTTATGTTTTCTTGTTTCCAGTTGTAATATATTTATGAGAGTGGTTGAAATCTAGCATGATGTTCTGATTGGTGGCTCCATTCTGTAACACATACAATTACATATGTGAGTAAATCCACAACATACACTATTATGAAGATTAACAAATAAATTTAGATACACAAAAGAAATGAGTTTTCACAATACTAAACCTCCAAAATACATTAAGAACAAATAACAATTGCCATCAAATTATAACTTCAAGGGTGATTATTCACACCAATGGGGTGTTAAAATGACAGGAGTTACTTCAAGTTAAATTAGAATTTCCATGTCATTTGATGGATTATTCTAAGTTACTTGTGGTTTACTATAATATTGGCCCATAGGTGTGAGTTAAAAAAAGAAAAGATGAATATAACAACTTCTACTTTCAATTTACATAAACAAGCATGGAGCTGGCCTTAGGGCCCAATTATTTTTGGCATGCCCCTAGGTTCACAGCACACCCAAGGTATGGTTGAGTAAAATGGAGGCAGGTTTAATTGACAAGACTAATTGAGGGTGCCTACTAGGAGAAATTCGCTTAAAACCAGCACCAGACAAGCATCTGTGTGACTTATTTATGGCCTATAAATATACTAAAAACAGTATTCTCGATGATTGATGTCTAAAGTCTAAGATATCTTATAATAGTACTGACATTTCATCAGTTTTAACAGCACACTGTATAAAAAAAATTTGATGGCAATATAATTTTAATTTATACTAGACCATTAACAAAACTCTTTGCTGAACAGTAAAACAGACAACAAGCACAATACGATCAAAATATTCAATAAATAATATCAAAGACTGATTAAGCATTTTGTTAAATTAGCTAGCACTACATTTTACAAAAACAGTAATAACTCCCCCCCCCCACCATCCCCAAAACAAGTATCCTGTCTCTGCAGAATAACATTCTGTAAAGATATCCAGAAATACATATTATAATATTCTAATAAAAGCCTCATCAACACACCACATTGAGACCACACAAGATATTTTGTTTTCTATGGTATACTGTTAAAATTTAAAACTGATCTAAATCATAATTTATCTCTCAAGGTGATTACGTTTACTGAATAAACAGACAACCCCTTTATGGACAACCCTGCCCATGGGTCAATGAAGGAAAATTCAGGACAGGCACTGAAATCCAAATACTTGTTAGCCAAGTAGGTGTTGTATTTCCTGGAGAAGTAGGTAAAGGACTCTACAGATTCTTCTCTACGCCTGGGATTCCTGTGTTATAACTACATGATAATAAAATAAATGTTACCAATACTAATTCTGGTCATGATTGGTATTAAATTTATACATGGCAAGTGTAAAATTATCCAAATAGTTGACAGTTTTTAAAGTAATCATCATATTAGAAAAATAAAAAAAAAAAATATTGCAAGAAAATAAATGAAGTACAGGGCATGTTTAATTCAGCGAATGAATCAGATATGAAAGACATGTCATTCATATTTTTAAATGTTTATGGTTTTAGCTATTATCTCCCTTCTCACTGACGTCGTAGATTCTCTAACCGTGCCTCAAGATCAGCATCTGCATCACTAACTGGTCCTGCTGGAACAGCTTGTTTAGCAGGGCCCCCAGTTGCTGCTAGCGATTTACCAGTTTGTGGAAGATCTGGAAATAATATAAGATGATCATTACTATGTAACTTAAAACTTTTTGAATTTTGAATCACGATAATTGGTTTCTTTACACTTTCCAAGACAAGATGCATTTTAAATAGGGTATATTATAAATTTTAAGAAGAAGTCATAGAAATCTCTTCTCCTGTTAATGCTTTTCTGCATGGAATACACCGAAGAATTTCTGATGCAAATGAAAAAGCTACATCTGTCTTCTCTACATAAACCAGCTAAGATAGTTCATAAAGGGGAATAACTGCTGAATTGGTCAAAGGAACAAGGAAATACATTTTTTAATTTGTTCAACCTAACTAATGGAATTCATTTGCTACTGTGGGAGTTTCCACCCCATGTCCATGTCAGTAAATTGGTTGTCCATACACTAGGACTTCTCTATTATATAGCAGCCTTCAACAGGGCAGGTATCAATTTAAGTTATATTAAACACACATCAATTTTTATTTTATTGCTTCAGGAAACCTATTAAAATTTTTAATCTTTTTCTTGGAAAAAAACCCCAGCAAACTTTTAATCCCAAAATTACTTCTCAAAAGCTTTCACCTCCAAATTTTCAAGTTTTGAAATTTTAAACAATACATTGATGAGAAATGGTTATTTAACAGAATTTAAGCACAGAATTATTATGAAGTCTTGGTAAACAAAGTTTTCAGTACAGGTACAATCAGTGACGATTTAGTGAAGTCTTAGTGTAACAATCAGAGCAGAAAAGTAGGACGTTAAACCCCATTTGATTTCATAGTGTAACTTTTCAGTTATAAAATGTAGTCCTTGTATGTTTTATTCTTCGTGAGAACAGAGCAAATTTAAAATCAAGGGAGCTTAGAATAAGGACCATTTAATATTTCAGGTCAGATTTAAATTCAAAATTCATGCAAATATATTTTTTAATTTTCTGATTCTATTAACACTTTCTGTTGTATTGTCACCAGGGAGTCACGGTGGCTAGGTGGTTAAGACGCTGGCTCACTAGTCTGGAGGTCGGGCGTTGATCCCTACATTGGTCGAGAAAGTTCATCGGGATTTTCAGACGTGGTTTCCCCTTGTCAGTAGTGGAGAACGGAGGGCCTGACAAGGACAGCTGTCTAGTCCTTTGGATGAGAAGAAAAACCGAAGTCCCGTGTATACATTGGAATGCCATAAAAGATCCCATCTTCATTAGCCCAGTATAGGAGCAGAACAGTAGGACGTTAAACCCCATTTCATTTCATTTTGTATTGTCACCATATGTATACTTGTCTTTCATTATTATGTAACTATAGACCCCCAAGTTATAAATGATGCAAAATACATGTAGAGGGTCCACAATTTTACATGTTTACTTGTTTATTGATCAGCAATAAACTAAACCCTAACTATGAATAAATCCCTTCGTCAAACTAAATCGTTTAGAATTTTTGGCAAGGAGCAGTGTCTAGTCATTTGGATGGGACAAAAAAAGGTTGGCAGTTGGAATTAGACAAAGAGTGGATGAAAACAATCTGTCTGGGCAAAATTTCCCTCATAGTACACTGCATAGTGTATGCTGAAAAATAGAAATTTAAACCCCATTTTATTTCATTTAGAATTTTTTTTTGTGTTATATATTTAATGTGGCCTATTACGGCATGTACACTACAACAGTTAACTGTTGATGATACTTACTGTTTAAATCATCAGCCATTTGTAAACCTAGTTCATCAAATATCTGAGATACAACAGCATCACTGAAATATAATACAAAATTATCTTGAAATAATATCAGAGCGTAAATCAATCGTTTTAGATATGTTAATGTTGTGCAAAAAGGGAAGTAATCTTTAATAATGTCAAATAATTTACAGATTATCTACAAAGATTTAGGTGTGTGTTTGTTTGATCTATCATCTAAGCAATGAGGAGGTTCTTTGTCTATCTTAAGAAGGGTTTTAAACAATCAGAGTGGCATTAATCTAGACTTCAAAGCAAAGACAGCTATTGCAAATATGAGTAGTAAAATCTTGGTCAACAGAAAATTGATTGAAATTTAATTGGAATTTCTATGCATGATGTCATTATATGTGTACCATTAAGATTAAAATAATATTCATAAAATTATACTTTGAAAAGATAGGGACACTCAACACAAAATAGGTCATTTTGGAACTAACATATGGCTGAGTTTTATTTCAAAAACTTGCATGCGTTTTGGGGTTTTTAGCACTTAGAGGAACCCAGAGGACCCTGAGAAAACCCACGAGGAGTGACCCTACTAAATGTTACGTACAAGATGAGAATCAAAACAATGCCACTTAACTCAACAACAGACCTTATGATCTAAAGTGCATGTGTTACACCTTTCAGCCTCCCAAGCCCCTATTACACTTTAAATAAATATATAAATGTAAATTCACCTTTCGTCTTCATCATCTTCGTCCCCCATAGCATCATCAATAGCATCACTCATCATCTCCTCTTTCATATCCATAATCTCTGATTGTTTCTCAAACTCCATCATAATCTTTTGAATCTGGGGTAATTTTAACTACAACAAACCATTGCGATAAAATAAAAATAACCAATGGTGGACTAGTGAAGAAAGAGGTAAGTAAAACAATAAAAAAAAAATCTCTGAAACAAGGCCAATAATGATATCACAATATCGACAAATGGATTGATGCAATGATAAAAGCATGTGGTAAATCACACAACAGTTCAAATCAGTAAAGGCACACAATTACATATTAACAGAATTATAATCAGGTATCAATCATGTTTCATTTGATTTTTTATAATATTTACTACTATATGGTAGAATAAACAGAGACAATAAAGCAAAAAAAAAAAAAAATCATAAATCTAATTTTTGTCTGGGAATAATAATCTTTATTAGCTCTTGCACTTTTACCTGACATATTTTATTTTGTGCCAAATGTGTTTTAAAAAGGTTAAAAAAAATGAAAAGTGACAAATTGGCACTGGACAATATGTCTGGCACCAGAGAAATTGTACCTGACAATGTCTGAATTTGTGTCTGAACTTATCAGTGATCAGTGTCTTATTTCCAGGCTTGTCAGGTTTATAACTTAATAAAATAGTAACTTTACCTGTTTGTTCATGGTTTGCATGGCTTTTGTGACACCTTTCATGGCCTGCGCCATTGTATTGTTAGATTTTAAGGTTTGAATCTTTAATGATACAGCTTGAATATTGGCACGCATGGCTATAAATTTCTTCACGTATCTTCTTGTACGAACTAAATCTTTAGCCATAATTTTAACAGCATCCTAGGGAGGAAAAACAATTATATCTAAATCATAATAATAATTAACATTTCATACACAGTGCTATCTTGCTTTGCTAAGTTACCATACGGAAAATTACAAGGACAGCAATATTAGTTTTAAGTTAGACATAAATGACGAAACCAGTAGAATTTATGAAGAAAAACGTCCACAGGTCAAAAAGTGTAGTCACTTTAGTGCAGTGTAGGATAATTTGTTCAAGAAGATATCACACTGAATCCAGCAAAAAAGATTCCATATAGGTATCACGAAGTAAATTAAACTTACTTTATTACCATGCCAGATTCAAATAAATTTATTATTGACCGTCACCCGGCCCATCCTCAAAATATTCTCAACAAGTATCTGGTGTCATCTCAAGACATTAATTCATTTACTAGATTCTAATTTACTTATTTAGCCACAGCCAAATCCCTACTGGGATTTTTTAATATCTTTGCAAACTCGGATGTAGGTCCATAACTAACCATTTGTCCCTTTTTAGCCATTGTTCGTATATCTGCTATAACTTTTTTCTCTTGTTGTTCCATCTTTTGTCTTTCTCGATCTAAATCTCTCATCGCTTTATTCAGTGCCCTTTGGTTCTGCCGTAACATCTCCTCTGGAGTTTTCTTTCGTCCAAATAACCATTCTAACGGCATCGTGAGAGATTTAAATCAAAATCTACAAAATAAAGCCAAGTCATATACTTGTAGGCCTACCTTAGTAATAGTAATACATTTTCAAAAACACATCTACAATAAACATCTGCATGTCAGTAAAGGGTACCGTAACTCTGAACATTAACAATGACTAAAGCTTAATAAACAATTTTTAACATTTCCCTTAAGGAAGGGCCTGTAGAAATCGATGGCCATAAGAACATAATTAATTCAGATTTACTCAAAGTTTGTGTCCGCTTTAACTACACATATGAGGAAGCGGTTTTTTTAAAACTTACATACATTTATCATTTACCCAGTGTTAGTGAGTAATTAGTACTAGTACTAGTAGAGTATAATGTATTTTTAGTATAAGCCTCAGTCAGCCAAAGTGATTTTAAACACATACCAGTCCTGTTGACTAAGTTTTGATAATAAACATACCAATAGTCGATGAATGCCAAAGTTAATTAATGTTTATTACTTCTATTTAGCTATTGGATTAGTCAACATCACCCATGTAAAAAGTTGTGAAATCTCCAAATAAATTTTGTCTATAAATAGTAAGAAATAGAATATAGTCACTGTCAGCCCTTTCTTTGCCTTGACTTGTACACAGATCAGATAATGCTACAAATAAAAATACCTCTTCTGAAGAACAGACGAACAAGAACTCAAATTATTAGAACTGCTTTGATAGTATGCCTCTTACACCTGTTGCAAATTAGATAAATAAAATATTATTCTGAAAAAAGATTCCTTGTGATATTTTTGTTTGTGTTGATGACGTCATTAAAGTGTGATGTATAATCTCCAAACACAAGTTCTAAATAAGCAAGCGAAAATTAACAGTTTATTTATAAAAGATTTCAACGGCAATGAGTAACTATTATGTGCCGAATTGATAGATAATAACAGAAAAAAGTATTTGATTAATAAAATAAAATATTTTCTTTGTAACTGACAGGTTTGGTTAGAGAGTTTCGATGAGTGGTTTCCTAAGATGGCGGCTTCGCTGCAGTGATGTGCGGAATTGGGGTGCGCAAATTCAATTTTGTCTTCTTTTATGTAGAAAGATTGAGATTTAAATACTTTTACATGGTCTTTATGTTGATATTGTATATTCCAGTTTTCAAATTATACGCCGATTTTTATATAATGACCTCAAAAAATCACTCAAGATACACATCTTGAACAGATCCTACGCATTTTATTGAGAAAAAGTGGGCAAATTGCCCAACTCAGCAATTTATCGTCTCGAACGTCAAAATATGTTGCCACCTGGAACTTGTTCGTAAATTAGAATTGAATTTAAAAAATGAAATAGTTGAATATATGGATTTATTTCTTTGCAAAGAGTAAATTTGTTAATGAAAAATTATGATCTTTTGTTATTGTTTTGTAAATCTATTATCAAGGTGTTAGTACTAGTAGGACTAGAGTAGATAAGTAGATCTGGGCCCCAAGGCTATTTATTATGCATGCCAAAAATGAATAATATTTATGACTTGCAGTAGATGTACTTGGCCTCCAGACTGATATATCATAAATTTTTGATTAATTTCCTTTTCTGTTGAATTAACAATGTAAAATTACAATGAGGACAAGCATATTGCTATTATTAAATGGCATGCATGGATAGGGTTAGTCAGTCAATAGTGAACTCTGACTCATACTGTACTGTTTTCATCATAGCAATTACAAAGATAGTTCTAACAAATATGAGTTATCTGATTTTGGGTTTTATTAAAGGCCTGATGTGCCATATATGCTTTTTTGTTAAGATGTCAAATTCCTCACGGCTTAAATTAATACACACTAAATTTGTACCCTGCTGGATTATTTAACATTTACCTAATTAAGAAATCAAAATACCAACGCCAGATAACCACCTAGCTTGGATTCAATCAGATTTAAACTAGGACCATCAGGTTTCTCAGCTACTAATAACAGATGACAGCTTCTTGTTACACTCGGGCAACATAGTTCGTTGAAAATACAATTCATCATAACCTTAACTTTGTATATATATATACTGAACGGTATTGAACCATTTTTGGATGGTATTACAGTAATGCTAAATGACGCATCTTTTAGTGAGAAATCAAAAATGGAAATTATTTTAGAAAAATAGCTTTAAGTGGGGCCTACATCAGGCGTGTGTCACTGGGGTAGTTTGTTTAACCCAATTCAAGAGATAATTAGTATTCGTTACCTGTATTCTACCTCCCTGATTTGACTGTACATACCATTACTTGCGTTAATGATGTCATTTCTTGAAGTAGTTATTGTCTTTGTCTTACACTAACAGTTTTACTAGAGTAGTGACACTTTTAAATTTTTGTGTTATCTAAATTTTTTTTTTATCTTTTCAGCACTGAATTTGTAAATTAAAAACTGAAACATTTCCGAGCCATATTTAACGAGAAACATAAGAGATCAAATTGATTCTGAAATTTTAAATTTCAAACGTAACGACGATTGTGCCCATTCCATTAAAAACTTGCACACACTGCTAGCAAGCATCAACTGGGTTTGAAGGATTTTCACCATAGAGATCTATTAAACTGTAACAACATGGACAACTATAATGGTAGATCTCCTACTGTGAGAAAAGTAAACAGTCCACAAGTAAAGGTACTGGCACACAATCCTTTAGAAGTATTTAACTGGATAGAGCAATAAACTATAACACACATGTATTTATGGAAGAACAATTATTTAATTTTTTGGGGCCATGTGTTGAAGGGTATCCCCTTAATGTTTTCAAGCAAGTACAGTAAAAAATGTGTAGGGCAATTATATTGTTAGCTCGATGTTTTGGTCCTGCAACCTTCCAGACTTCACTCAACCAATGGTTCTTTTTGGACTGGCTTAACGACTGTTCTGCCATTCATAATAACAAGGTTTCGGACAATAATAATAGTATCACAATGCACTGGTTTGTACTAGTATGGACTTCAATCAAGGTTACAGAAAATTTACTAGAAAAAAATAATGAAGAATTAAATGGCCTGATTTTAAACTTTATCATAGCAGATTTGATGGGGTAATCATAAGAAGCAAACAAAATATAATTAAAAAGAAATCTTGTAACATAAGCTTACTGTTAATGTTTCATATATTTAAGTATTCTTATAATAAAATAATTTTTATGTTTTAGAAACTGTCAACCCAATCCTCAGACCCGGCCATCATGTCTTTTCATCAAGGCCCAAACAATGTCAATTCCTACAGCCTACAAACAACCAGTACAACTTCTAATGGTGTACGAGAAACAGGGCTTATTGATAAACTTCAGGTAAGGATTATTGTCCTTCCATCATTTCTTCTTTTGATAAATATTAAGTAGTAAAGCCGAAAAATTGCACAGCATACTCAATTAAGACCACACAGACATTGTAAGCCATAAGAGAAGAACAATAAAGTCAATTGAAAAAAAAAATAGGTTCTAGGCCCTTTAATCACCAAAACTTTGATAATTTTTAAAGATGCATCCTTTTGATTGCTTGAGATTTAAAATCCTAGTACAAACTATAGTTCTTGGCCAATGAAGGGTCTGAATTCTTTAAAATATTTTGGTTTGAAGTTTTTGTGAATGAGACACCAGGGACATTATCTGTAATTATGTGCCATTAAAATGCCATGTACAAATCGTAATCCTTTGTTAATTTTAATTTACATTAATAGGTCTTTTTAAAAAAAAAAAATAGAAGGGAATTTAAATTTTCACATATTTGGGAACTTCAATGAATTCAATTATAATCAGTCACAAATAAAAAATAAATTATTATATAAATAATTTTTTTATTGTATTTCAGCATTCCTACGGGTTTATTAATTGCTGTGATAGGGAGGCGAGATTATTTTTTCACTTTAGTGAATATAACGGTAACTTGGATACCATGAAAACTGGTGGTATGTATCTAAGGAATTTCTGTCTTTATTTCATTTGAACCATTTATTATCCTAAAATAAATGCCAAAATTGCAAATAACCGTGCGTATCGTTATTGTCATCATTTCTATGAATTTATCAATGTACAGTAGGCTCAAAATTTTCTTCTATTTATGTGAGCATGTGTCAACTTACTTATGCCAGTTACATAACGTTTTTTAATCAACCATACTTCATAGACATTGACCTTAATTTCAAGTTGCATAAATTTGATGTAATAAGTTTAGTATTTCCTTGCAGCTATTGTTTATTTCATGTTTCTACCATGAAATGGATTGTACAAATTACACTCATTCAGTATACACTGTATGTTCTTTCTCTCTTTTTTGCCAACATAATGATTAGAAGAAGCTAGGTACATGTATACACCAGCAATATATCATTATATAAGACATTTACTTTTCTTTTTTTATTTTATTAAAACAAGGTTTAAATGCCTGGCAATCTGCCAGTTCTCCTCAGTCATCTTAATTATTTAGTTAAGAGACGGTTAATATAAGTTATAAACTGTCTAATTCAACCAGCCTTCTAACTAAATATAATGCCTGGATAATTGTATAAACTATTAGTGTTAAAACAACTTGACCTATTTGTGTGTTTTTTTTTATTTATACAGTGTACTTTTGTATTTCTGTAACAGGCTTTGCTATAACTTGTTGAAAGAATATGTGTAAATTTTGTCCTGAATTCTATTGAATTTGTGTAAAAAAAATTTGATTTTAGAATAAAACAAGTATGTTCAGTCACCACATTACAATTAAGAACTTGGCTGCAAAAGTTACATGAATTTGGAAAGCCAACCGTAATAATCTTTCTTGTTAAAACATTTAATGACGGAAACAAAAACTTGAGTAGAATAATAAATTAAATAGCTTTTTTTTTTCGAGAAATGTCAGTTATTCTCGCAGTTGACATTTTTTTTTTATAAATTCTATTTTCAGATGCAGTTGAATTCCAGATGTCCTATGATCGTCGAACTGGTAAACCAATTGCTATAGCTGTTGTGAAAGTTGATCAGAGTATGATCACCACTGAAACTGTCAATGGTGAAAAATGTAACGGAATCATTGTACAAGAAGCAAAACCAACAAAAGCCAAAAATGTAAATTTTAATATTTTATTCTCAATCTGATTAAAACACAGATCCTATTTCATTTTGTTTTTTATAGTTCAAAATTTTTTTTTACTTGTCTTCACAACACTAGGATCTGGAAGAGTTGCTATATAACAGGCATTCTAGTTGATGTTAGGAATTAGCCAATGAAACGGTCTGTTACTGCAAGTTCTTGGCGTGCTCTGCACAGAACTGTGAGTAAACCCTTAGATACATGTACATCAACACAGATTGATTAATCAATGTCTGACGTCATAGGGTCAAAAGCCGCTCGTATGACCCCTGAAGCGACCTCCCAGTACAACTGCTCAGATCTTCATGTAGTGTAGGCCATTGAAAGTATAAAAAAGAAACCGAAACAAAATATAGATCTGTATTTTGATCAGATTGTTTTATTCTGTTACACATGTAATACTAACAATGAAATCTTAATAATTAATTCTGTTACAATACAAACTCTTGCAGGAAAGTATGTGGTTTAACCATTCATTTATTCATTATAATGCTATCATTGAATTTGCGGCACCACTAATATTAGTTCCATATTCTGAAGAGCGATAGAGAATGTTAAATCTACTTTCAAAAGATTTCTAGTAGTGCTGGGTATTGCGACTGCAGTCACGATACGATACGTATTGCGATTCATGTGCCACGATACGATACATATCGCGATTCATAACTAGGTCATAGATTTATCAATAAAACAACAAATTGAATATGTGATTGTGTTTTTAATGAAGCTCGAACTTCACCGCAGGTTGAACTGGCCGTCTTCTTACTCTTAGCAGACGAACTAATAGACATTCGCCACTATGGTGTCTTGTCAAGTGAGTGCTGAGATTGGTTGTATTACAACATTATTTTAGAATAGTTTTGCATATTCAACAAACTTTTGTTGTGTCACCTTTTAAAAACCAAAGTTTTCCCAAACTTTAGATTTATATTTCGCTCGAGGATTTGTTATTGCGACTGTGTTTTCCGCCATTTTGATTTTTGCAAGAGCTACTATCTATTATATTTAGGTTCTAAATTTATAATATTCTAGCGTAAAATGTCATTTTATGTATTTAAATATGTATGTTTTATTAACTAAGCCTTATAACAAACTTTAAAATTCGGAAACAAAACGAAAAGGCGTTAAAATCTTGTTAATCTAAACCTACAAAACTAACGGTAATTACGGGTGTGCGCTATTTATAGTAACACACGTCAAGACTACTGGACATCGTTTGCGAAGTGTCATTGTTTCAAATAAAATTTAGTGTATAATTTAAAATTTTTAAAGTTCATAATATATTTGAGAAAACTCAAAAAAGAATCGTGAAAAATCGATTCGGCATCCCACGATTCAATACAGGTATCGTGAGACGGTGAATCGCGATACATCGATTCAACGATATATCGTGCCATCACTAATTTCTAGATTCCTCCTGTTTGATTGACACCCTTAAAGCGGCATTTACATGATACAACCAATCCAAGCAGATGTTATCATTTAAAAACTCATTTGTTTTAACAAGCTATAACTGAGAGCTAAAGACTTTTCGTCTAAATATTTTGGCATATAGAAATGGACATTCATATTGAACAGTACAGAATGGTCAATATACAATGATCATGTTATAAATAATATCTATGTCTTATAGGGAACGGTACAGAATGGTCAAGATACAATGGGACGAGTAACGTATGAACATAGTGGAGAATGTTTCTTCTTGCCATATACTGTTGATGATATTTGTGATGGTTTAATAAAACTTAAAGCTGGTGATCATGTTCATTTTACCATAGCAACAGACAAACGGTTAGTTTCAAAATATTAGTACCAAATATTAGTGAAGCAGGAAGCTTATTCACAACTTTTTAGTGCAAGGTTTTATAGATAAGGCTTCAGATGATAATTTTGTATAAGAACTCTTGTGGTGAAGTAAGATGATGATACCAATGGTTATTTTGCAGATAGGAGAATACAGTGGTCATATTTTCAAAATGTTCTTTTTTATGTCTTTGGAAAGACATGCACACTTTTGAAATCTTTGCTGTTGATTTGATCAGATGGTTGCACAAGCAGTTATGTAAAGTTGTGTTGTATTCAAAATTTGAGACAGATCTGCCATTTCCGTGCTGAGTTATAGATTCATTTTTCAAGGAATCTCCGTTGTCACTTATGCAAAATGACTCTCCTGGTGAATTAGAGTTGCAAATCCATTAACAATTTTTTTTTTAAATGTCTCATTTTTCTTTGTCAAATAAAATCTGTGTTACTAAAGTCTTGTTTAAAATAATGTATTCTGCAGAACGGGACAAGTTCGTGCACGTCAACTGGATTTGGTTGAATCTCCTACTAACAAGAAACAACAAGGTGTTGTCTGCTCAATGAAGGAAAGTTTCGGATTTATCGAGAGGTCTGATGTTGTACGAGAAATATTCTTCCATTATAGCGAGTTTAACGGCAATATTAATGATCTAATTCTCGGTGATGATGTCGACTTCTGTGTTCAAAATAGAAATGTAAGTAAATCAGATTAAATTAATTATTTATTTAAATAAACATATTGCAGTATACAGCATCAGTGCTATTTGAGATTTTTAATATCCTACATAGCTGCACCAATCAGGCTTTTAAAGAGGGGCATATGACATGTAGTGAGCTATGGGGAAACTTTGCTCTGTCAGCGGCGCTATGGCTTACTCTTGATTTAAATTACAAATGCCCAGGTTTACGTACCAACCAATGAGTACCCTGGTTCTTGGATTTTTCGTCCCATGCTAATGAGTCGACGTTTTTCCTGACTAATCCCTCTGTCGGCACCACTAACAATTGGAAGTTTCTTGTTCTTAGGGCACGACCTTTGTTAGTATCCAGACATTGTTCATCTTGGTCCCAGTAACTCGGATGAAAGGCCGCAAAATCTTCAGAAACTCATTAGTGAAAGGGTCAAGTGCTTTAAAAGACAATGTATTAAGAAATATGGATTTTATTATTCTCTACCAGGGTAAAGAAGTAGCCATAGAGGTATCACGTCTACCTGAAGGTACAGTTATATTCGAAGATGTCTCTGTTAATCGTATCAAAGGAAAAGTTTTAAAAGAATTGAAAAATCCAAATAATCGACGTCTAAGTGATCCCCTAGGTGGCCGACTCATCTACGAAACTCCTAAAGGGTGAGTCATTGGAGATTTAATCCTTACAGGCCAATGGAAGTTCTGTATGGCTATATTTCTTATTATACCATATATTTTAAAACGAAAGAGATATTGGACATTCTCTTTTTTATATATTTATTTTATATCTGTGGAGGTCTGTCATTGAGTCAAGTGTCATGGTTTAGATCCAACACCTGTATGTGAAAAGGAGTAGGGCCACCTGCCCTTCCTAGCAGGTTTTCTCTGGGTCGTTCTGTTTTCTCCCACTGCTAAAGACCACGACAGACATGAGAATTATTAAAATAAAATTGTACTATATATTAGTCCGGAAATGACTTAGAAGTAGTTGTGTTGCATGGAATAAAATCACATCTTTCCATATTGATAAATGTCTTATATATTTTAGAACTACTTGGGTAAATTTGATATATAATATATTTCAGAACTATGGAGGTTCCATATGGTGATAAAGATCAGGTTGGAGAATATACGTTAATGCAAGGAGATTGTGTAGAGTTTAACGTTGCCACTGATAGACGCGATAAATTACAACGAGCAACAAATATTTCTCTTTTAGAAGAAACATTTCAAAAAGTTGGTGAACAAAGAGAAACTGTAAGTTATAATTCTGTTTATTCTATCAAAGTTATGGAAGTCATTTTAAAACGGTCTGCTCAGGTCCATCCGATTTTGATTCCAAAGCATATCGCATAAACTATTCAAGACATCTGTACGCACAGCAACCTATTATATTATTTGTACCTTTTACTAATTAGAGATTTGTCAGATCTGATAATTTTTGTGTTTCCATGGAAACTAATTTGAAATTGGTGTACAAGGACTAAGGATGTTGATAACCTGGCCTTCATGTTATCTCTTATTTTAGAGAATAATTATTAATTTTGTTTCACAATGTCTTGAATTTTGCAAACAGTTGGACTCCTGTATAGAAAAATAACATTGGTGTTAAAACTGTAAACATCACAAGCTATTGGAAAACAATGTAAAAAAAACATAATATGTAGATTATTTAGATTGTTTGGGAAAAAATGTTGATATATTACTAGTTCTTTGAAGTAAATTTTTTATGCTGAGTTATATGATATTGTTGATCTTGGGTGAATTTTTTTTTCTCATTACCTACATTGATGAAAAATATGGTTGTTTCACTGACCTGACAAAGTATGTGTATTATTTTGGAGTTGTGCCATGTCAATGTAGAATTTTTTTTATTGCATACTAGTCTATAATGTATACTAAATGTTTTTATAACTGAATATGTGTTGGAGAATGTCAATCATATCTGACACTCATAACAAAAATTAGATATCAAAGTTGGTATTTGGTACATTTAAAGATACATTATGTAAGATTTTATAAAGAATTGCCTGTTCTTGCTATAGTAATAGTAATAAAGTTACTTTAATTCTGTTCTAAATGAAGTTATCAATCTTAAAGGTTTGAAAACAAATAGCCTAAATAATCTTGCTGCAGTAATGCTTTCAAGTATCGATAATTGCTGACCATCCACCGTTCAATAATTGATAATATCGGCAAATTATTCTTACTTAGGAATTTGTTTTGGAAACATTCATAATTTGTATACAAATTATGTGAGCTTATGCTGTAATGTCATTATGTATACATGTAGCATTTATTTCATTGATGTGAAAATAAAATAATAGCACTCTATACCAAAACCACGATGTCGAAACTCAACCAACCTCATTTGGAAGACAGAACCGTCACTGCTCAAAATATCTGTGTCGCTTATGACCAGAACAATAATGAGTAAAATGTATTTCCCTTTTAAACGCATTTAACGTCCAGTTTATTTCTTGTAGTGATTTTTCATGCTCACAGAAGGCCTTGAATAATGGCTTAATTCGTGTTTTGACTCTTGGTCACTATGAGATCTATATAATTTCAATATTCCACAGTATGTTGCGTTATGAGGAACTATTTGTTCTCATCATAAGTGGCGCTGGCGCCTCGCGTGATAAACAGAATGTCTGTAAGATAATTTTTATGTTTAATTACAGTTACCGAGCTAGGCCCAAGTACCGGGTATGCATTGCAAAGAATACTGTGATAAGGATAAATTATTATGGATTTCTTCTCACTAGTGACTACCTATAATTGTGCGATTATAGATATTTTTAATTTGTATCGCTTATCGATCTTCAAAACACTTTACTGGCGATTATTGGCAATATCAATATTTTCTGCCAGCCCTATTATTGGTACATATATCTTCGATGAATTATGTTGTCCTAGTCATCAGTCAGTTAACCCAGTTCATTTGGTTGTATTTTTCAGGGTTTAGTAGCCAGTTTAAAAGAAGGCTATGGGTTTATTCAATGTGTTGATCGGGATGTGCGGATGTTTTTTCACTACAGCGAACTACTAGATCCTACTCATGTTATAAAAGTACAAGATGACATGGAATTTACCGTTATTCAGGTAACTAATACCAGAAAATGTGCTTAAAAGATCACTTTTCTCTTTATTTCTGTGGCATAGTATGTTGTATTGCAATCTAAACATAGTAAAACATGTAAAAACAAAGGTTTTAAGAGAGCAAGAAGATTGTCCAATGGTAAACAACGGAAGTGAAAAGAAATGAAATGGAGTTTAACGTCCTACTGTTCTGCTCCTAACCTGGGCTAATGAAGACGGGGGTAAAGCAATGGAAGTAGGAGTATGTTGATAAAAATTTGATAAAAATATGCTTTCAAATACTACATATTATTGTGCCCTTAATAGGATTCAATTTCTATTCAATAAAAGAATAAGATCAAATACATGTTAAACAAGACAATAGTCATGGATTGTACACATTATTTTAACAACATTTTATTTAAATAGTTTAAGGGTTTCGGTGGAATATTTGATCAGGAAGCTAATAGTGGTAGTAACAAAAATAGCAATGTGGAACTCTGCTGCAAGTTTAAAATCTAATGCACAACCACTTATATCTTAGTAGATGAAAATGGATGGATAGTTATTTAAGTGAAAATTTCACTTAATTCATATCAGCTAGTTAAACATGCATAATGCAAGAGCTAAATCTGCCTATTGCAGGTCTTTCGTTAGGCCTTAAATGTTATATGAATTATTAATTAGACATTTATTAACGTGTCAAGACCACAATCAACTTTCGCTGTCATCGGATGCTCAAGATTTTCAACAGATTTAAACACGATTTGCGGTTAAGGATTTAATTAAAAAATGGATAATCAAGACTTTTACGATAGCAATGACAATCAAGACTCTGCTATTCTCCAAACAGCTCTAACATAGCTCAGAATAATGTAATTTAGCTAGATAATCTATCTAGTTTTTAACTATTATAACGAAAACTGTCAGCTCCTTATTTAATGCATCTTTAGGTATTCTTTATATTTTTAGGATCCGTCCTCCCCGAACCGTCATATTGCCATCAGGATAAAACCACTTATAAAGGGTTCTGTATCTCTACTGACTATACATCCACAGAAGTATATTGGAACTGTTGAAAAGGAACCAAGTACTCATAAAACACAGAGTAAGTATACCCTGACATGTTCGTCATTCCGGCTGTTAACAGAAGCACTTTTTGCCGTTCAGTTATAATGAATTTTAACATGAACCTTTCCCAAAGTGCAAAATAAATTTTCTGATTCTGCTGTGAAAACGATTAAAATGGATAGCTAGTAACTGCAGATTTAAATACAATATTGATAGTATTTGCTTGTACTGTAGAGCAAGAATTGTCTTATAAAATATGATTTTGAATGACCAGTGGATGTATAAAATTGTTTTCAATAGAGATTGTTCATTATACATGTAGTTCAAAACATTTTAACTGTGATTTCAAGTTGTATGTGTCAGACCACTCAACCAACCATGCCCTCATTCCTTTTCTTATTCTATTGGCATGTATTATATTTTAATACACAGGCGGGTTGGCTGGCCGATTGGTGTAACACATGCTCTTTAGATCATAAGGTCTGTCACCGAGTCACGTCTCGTAGTTTGATTTTTGGGTGGTAGTTGAAACAGAGTATGATCGCCAGTCTAACCTCGTGGGTTTTCTCAGAGTCCTTCGGTCTCCTCCCACTGCTAAAAACCCTACAGTCAAGCAAATTATTGAAAGAAAATATAATTTCAAAATGTCCTAGTTTTTGTATAGTGGACATTAAGTGTGATTTCTGTCTCTCCCTCTATATATATATATATCTCTTAATACACTATCTTTAGGTAAAAGTAAAGACAGCGAAAATGGAAGTATTGTCTATGATTACGATGGTGCAATACAGAAAATATATTATTCTTCTAAAGATGTCCTTGATGCTAAAAACAGTCCACGATATGGTGATAAGGTATGTTCATGATCATCTCCATTTGATTTGTTTTTCCCGTTGTGCCATCACTGTACCCTCATCCTAAGTTTATATACAGAATTTTAATATGGACCAACTTACCCTCTGTAAATTCCATTAATACGCTAAGTTAATTGGTGACGCACAATTTATTATTTATTATTGAACAAAGTTATGGGGAATGTTGAAACAGTCTCTGTCCACCCTATTCTGTTTCCAAAGCATATCTCATAAACCGTTCCCGATACTTTTATGACACATCAACCCATTATAATAGTTATGCTTCTTGGTAATTGGGAATTTCTCAGATTTGATTATTTAAGTGTTTCCATGGAAACAAATTTGACTTTATTATTGGTGTTTTTATTGTGATTTTCTGAAATCACTATCAACTGATGAATAGGTACCAGTTTTAAAGCTTGTGTTGCCATGCACACAGATTGATAAATCATGTCTGCATTCTACAGTTTTCATCAACACCTATGGTTCTTATCTGAATGTGTTATATGAAAGAAACACACTGTTGTACATCATAGATTAAAGATGTGATAAAATTCCATTAATTGACATTAATTATCAGGCAGTTATCAAGGTTTTTATTTTAACTTATTTCTAGGTTGAATTTAGTATTGCTGAACAGAAACGTAATGGTGTCAAGGTTGCCATTGATGTACGAGTTGTACTCCGTAATATAACAGGACGATGTCAAGGTTTTATCGCTACATTAAAAGATAACTATGGTTTTATAGAAAATGCTGAACATGATAAGGAAGTCTTTTTTCACTACAGGTAAAGCACACTTACGCACTTTTAAAAAAATTATTTTGTAGCTTGATTTCCCCATTTTTAGTTTGGTTGGAAAAACCCTGTCTATGTAAACATTGTTCATTTTAATAAAGGACTCTGGGAAACAATTGAATATGCTATAAAGTTTCCTTTCCATTCTTTCCATTGAAAAAGTTTATATATATTGTGTTACCAAAATTGCCCTCATCAAAACAAAACTATTTGACTGTTGTGATTATCATCTGTATTTTTATACATGTCATAAGACATGTTTGGTATATAATTTGAGCTCACTTCATCTGTTTTAGAATAATATATTCTATTTTTTAGTTCATATGATGGTGATATTGTTGAATTGGAACTCGGTGATGAAGTAGAGTATGTTCTGGCTAGAAAATCATCAAAATTAAGTGCTGAAAATATCTATAAGTTAAACAAAGGAACTGTAGCACCAGTTGTAAGTTTAAAATATATTATTTCATTACTGTTAGAAAACAAGAAATTTGTCAGGAAGTTTGGTGCTATAGCTCTTGACCAGAGAATGTTAGCTGATTAAAAAAAAAATAATCCAAATTATAGGGGCATTATGGTTGATTAGATAAAGAGTTGACTGTTCTCACTATAATACTTAAAAAATAGATAACGTACAGAGAATATGCTGAAAATTTCAGTCAGATTTCTCCACTCTGAACCGCTTTTGAATTTTATTAAAGTCAGTAAGATAAAAAACAAAGTCTTGATTATCAATTTGCAAGGCAAACATCAATTGAACAAATATAAGTGCTAAAAAAATAGCACAACTCTGGAAGTGGGATAAAAGTTATATATAACCTGAATCTTTCCGAAGTGCAAACTTTGATTTTGCTGTGAAAACCATCAAAGTGAATGAGCAAGTAACTTCAGAATTTAGACAAAGAATTATTTGATCTGAAAAAAAACCCATTAGATTATTGTGCCCATAAATTTATTGCTGATTGTTTATAAAATTATGGTTTGGCTTTAACAAGTTGGCAAAAGTTAAAGCTGGAATGCGCTTGACTAAGCCATGTAGACTGTATGCAATGCCAGTCTGATTAAAATACAGATCTATATTTCGTTTCGTTTTTTTATACTTTCGATGGCCTACACTACATGAAGTTATAGCGATAGGTCACGTCAGGGGTCAAAAGACCGACTAATGACCCTATGACGTCAGACATTTGATTAACCAATCAGCATTGATGTTACTAGTGGATTACCCACAGTTTCGTGAAAAACACGCCTAAAACTCGCCGTAAATGACCGTTTCATTGGCTTATCCCTGACACCATTCAGAACATGAGTTAAATAACAACTCTTCCAGATCCAAGTGTAGTAAAGACAAGTAAAACGAAATTTTGAACTATAAAAACGAAACGAAATAGGGTCTGTGTTTTTAACCAGATTGTATGCAATGCTTAAGTATGTTACTTTGTTTCATTTAATTATATTTTTGTTCCTATTTCTCACTTTATCATATCACTGTAAGGACAGTAACTTTTGTACAATGGTAGGTTTTACTGTTGAGAATCCCTATTGTCATTAGCCTGGTTGGAGCAGAAAAGTAGGATGTTGACCCATATCATTCATTTATTCCATTGGTTGATTTTGTATTTATTACAGAAGGCGAGCAAGTTGTTGCTAAGGAAAATAGTTATTTTTGACTGGCTTGAATCAGCAGGTCTCATCAATAAATGACTTGTTTGAGATGCAACTCATTGTGAAAAATTCTACTCCATCGATCCATTCTGTGAAATAATGACAAAAAAATGATCATTTAGTGCAGAAATATATAGTATTTCCATCGAATTGATGCCAGTTTTTAAGTCAAGAAAATAAATTCAACCTGTCAACCATTGCTTTGGCCATAATTGATAAGACAATGTTTAATTCATCATTTCTTATTTGCAGGACATTCAAAGAGAACTAGGTCAACTGCAGGGGCGTATTATTCGACCAATGAGAATTGTTAACCCAGATCAAGATGAATATTCAGGACTTGTACAAGTTGGTGAAGAATGTAAGATTTTCAAATTTTATTGTAAACATTAAACAGGGATCACGCAAAAGCTAAATCTACCTATTGCAGGTCTTTAAGCCTGAAATATTCTATAAATTATTAACTAACTTACATTAATTAACTTACCAAGACGATAATCAACTCTCGATGCCATCGGATGGCTGTGATATAACTAGATTTAAATTCATGTTTTGGTCGATGCAGGTTACTATAATAATGGATAATCAAGACTTTGATTATTACCGAAACATTGGTCGTAATGACAATCGAGGCTAGGCTGTAATTGTATCACCAATATCTAGACTCAGAGTGAAGTAGTTTAACTGAAATTTTCAGCATATACTCCTTCCATTATCTATGGTTAAATCACTGATTGTAGCAGCTGTATTGCCCAAGCTCTGTTGGTTTGGAAATTGAAATTAAAAAAATCCAAAATAATTTGTATAGATACAGAAACTAATGGGTTGACAAATACACAGGCGACATTTGGTTATGCAATCGTGGGATATATACTTTAAGAATTCTGTGTCCATAAGTACATGTAATAACAAAGACATCTGTTTTTTATCATTTCAGTAAATGATGAGGCTGTTTGTTACCCCTATGGAATTACAAGTTTGGCTGATAAACGAGACTTCCTGCAGAAAGGGGACTTAGTTAAATTCCAAGTAGCTGCTGTTAAAGACTGTGGCAAATTGCGAGCTGTGAATATTGCTGCTTCTAGGAAATATATCCGAGCTACAGTTGATTCTGTGAAAGGACAGGTAAAATATCTATCACTGAATCTTAAAGTGGCAAGGAGGGTTGGGTAGCTTTTGATCTTAAGATATGTCAACAAGTCAAGTGGTGTGGTTTCAATTCCATGATTGAACATGACAAGGACTAGGGGGGTGGGGGTGGATGGCCGAATAGTAGCACGTATCATAAGGTCTGGCATTTAGTCAACTGACATGGTTTCGATTCCCAAGTTGTACGTAACAAGGACTAGGGTCGCCTGTGCAACCAAGCAAATTATTGAAATAAAATTGAACCATATGTTAGTCCCGAAATGACATGGTTTGTGTCGAGTGGACACAAAAATAAGGGAAGTTTAAGAGGTTTTTTACACAAATCTCATATTTGGTACATAAAATGTTTGAATTCTTCTTCTGAGCTTAGTTTTTACAGACAATTACAACACAAAAGCCATGTTCCTAGTTTAAAACCTGAAATGTCAATGCAGTGAATGACCAGTAATTTTATTTTTCTCCTAGTTCGGATTTATTAACTATGAAGTTGAAGATGGTAAGAAGTTATTTTTCCACATGACTGAAGTCCACGACGGAGCCGGTATAACACCTGGCAATGAAGTTGAGTTTGTTGTTGTCCAAAATCAACGCAATGGAAAATATTCAGCTTGCAGTCTTCGTAAAATAACGTAAGTTTTAAAATTCTTCATAGGTCGTAATCTCCCAGCAACAAACTGTAAAAGACATTTCAGACACAAATCCAGGCTTTGTCAAGCACAAACCTTCTGGGCCCTGTTATTTTGTCAAGCACAAACCTTCTAAGGCCTGTTTTTTTGTCAAGGACAAGATTTGTCTTTTCAGCATTTTTATTGATACTAGTTCATAGGTCCAACTAAAATCATTATTTACAGTCTTAGTTGTTTGCATATTTCATTGTTAAGCTTGGATGAAGTAAGTGGGTTATAGGTCCAATTGGGGTTGTTGTTTTTTTTTTAAAAGTGATCTGATGGTAGATTTTGAATTTTTTTCTTTTTTTTTCTTTAAATCACTGTCACTTATCAAATATAGCCAAACAAAACCAGGCCCCAAGTTCACAAAGCATTCTCAGACTTAAGTTAACAATTTTCTCAAAATTGTTCGCCTTATTTTAACTAAAATATAGTCTTCATAAAACTTTTGTTGTTTTAATGTGTCAAATACATCAGTAAGAAACTATGCGTATGTGCAAAGTTTTGTGTTTTTGGATCAAAGATATTTCTCATAAACACTGATTGAAAGTTGAGTAAATTCTTAACTTAAGTCTGAGAATGCTTTGTGAACTCGTGTCCAGGTTTTAACAGTGAGCACATGCCCTAAACAAATTAAGTGTAAGTGTATCTTAGTTTTTTCCGAACTGGTATATGTTGTTTACATGAATATTCATGACCTCTGTATATACGAATAGTAATAAGTTACATATGTGGCAGCCTGAAGATTTAGTTGTCATGGTAAAGTGTGCAGTTGTCTTCTGTGCATCAAAGCAATAACATATGTGTTGTAATGTACAGCTGTGAGAATAAATATATGAATAAGTAAAGGGTGATCATTTAGAATTATATCAGTTTTGCAATCAGTTTTCAATTATTGTTGTCTTCTATATTTTAATAGTGAAAGTCGTCGACCAGAGCGTCTAATCAGTCGTTTAAAGAGCATGTCTGATGAATCGGCTCCACGTATAGTAGTAATTCGACAACCTAAAGGACCAGATGACACTTCTAAAGGATTTTGTTTGCCACGGCAAATCTGGAAAGCACCTACATGAAAAAATCTGCTTTGAAACTTGTGTATTAAGGCATCTTTAAAATTCCTTAAAAAGACAGAATAATTGGTCTTTCATAATTCTCTTTAAACATTGCAGTCTTGATGAGATGTGAATCCTTTTTGTCTTTCAATAAGAATAATGAAACTTAAATGAATTTTTGTTTAAAAAAAAAAAAAAATGAAGAAAAAAAAGGATCTTCAGTCGATGTCTTTATCATCAAATATAACTAGTCATAAAAATCGTATATATTTGAAATGAAATCTTTTTTTTTTTAATGTTATATATCACAATGAAAATGGCTAATTCTAGGCTAAACTAGAATGAAATTTGTCTTTATTGAATTATTTGGTTGGATATTTCATTACTTGAAAATGAAATGAAAAATAATATATTTCATTTTGCAAATCATATTCATTAAAAAAAAAAAAAAAAAAAAAAAATGAGATAAGTTACTAAACAAATGAAAAAATATTAACCACAAAGGACCATACTTTTTATTTTCCATGTATGCTTTAAATTTCAAAAATATATAAAATTAACCAAAAAAAAAGAAACTCATTAAATTGAAAATGGAAAATGTCATGTATAGTTAAACTCTGTCATTTACTTTAAATATTTTATTTTTCCTCTACAAAATGACTAGATCTTTAAAGTCAATGTAGTGTTAAGGACTGGAAAATCATGCTTCTTGAATTTGGTCTTGTTTTCTAAAAGACATTGGTTAATATCGTAAATGTATTGTTAGTTTGAAAAAAAATTGAAATTTCTCCCAAAAAATCATCCGCTAAGGGATTTTTATGAAAATAAATGAAGACCTGGAAACAAATTAATTATTTTAATTCAAACTTGCAGATATCGTATAACATGTGATAAACACAACTGAAGAAAGAAAACGATTGAGAATTAATAACTGTCAGATAGTTTAGTTGTCTCCCTTTGTAAACCCTTGTTAAATACTAAACTTGGCGCTGGTAATTAATTAGCATGCGTTTTTGTTTTTTTTTAGATTTCCAAATTCAAGAGTTCATAATGACTTTGTTACTAGTGTGTTTCAGTGTTTGTCTTTTATTTATTTTGATTTTTTTGGACATCACGAAAATACAAAATTGGTTTTCGATATAATTTGTCGAGATACCTCAAGTCAATTAACTTAAATCTGCAGTCAATAGTGCTTCCACTTAATGGACATTTGTAGATAAATTATTGCATTAAGGGGGTTAAATTGTTACTGTATGTGGACACATGTTATCACTATGGGTTTTGTTATAAGACAATATTTGAACCTTTTGTTAAACTTTTTGTACGCTATAATTATAAATGTAAGTGATGACTTGTGTTCACTTAATTTGTATAATTTTTAACATGTTACCCCTGCTGTCAAATGTTTTATATATGTATAAGATATGTATGAAATAATTATTTAAGCCAGTATATTTGTCGTTCAACTGATATTACATGTTTCCATCTTGTGCGAATAGTAAACTTATATTTACATTTGATGCATAATGTGGTTTTCTACTTTTGGTTTCACCATCTACTTTTGGTTTATCAATTATATGTATTATGTTATTAAAGTGCAATTATTATCTCATCTGTACTGTATTTTTAAATGTGTATTATACATATGTATTTATTGAATGGGGTCTTACCTGTTAATTAGGTTTACATGATTGAACCCATTATATGACTTGTATAAATAAGTCCATAATGAAGTCAGTTTATAAATGAAATTGACTCGTGTATATAAAATACACAAATAGATAATTGTCATGTGGAAAGAATATTAAATGAAATGTACAAGACTTAATAGCTTTGACACTGCATATACACCTTACCTGTTGAAAGGTAAACCAAATTAATTATTCAAAAACCATTAAGCAAAAATATTTTAAGGATTCAGCTTTTTTATTGGATAAGAGTCAAAATCGGGATACAACTTTTAGCTATTGGCCTATGATATATCTGAATTCTTATTATAAATTAGCTGAAGTGAATAAGGTCCTTGAATTGTAAATTGTACCCTGTTAATAGATTGATTAGATATCGTAATAATCTGCCTTATATACCAATAGCCTAACATCATACCTGATTACGTCTTTTAAAAAAAAGAAAATAATTAATCTAATAACTCAATGCAGTTAGAAATTTAAAAGATTTTTTTTTTGTGTGTGTATTTGCATGTCAATGAAATGTTTTATTTAAAAACTGACTCATAATTTTGTAGATCTTACATTAAGGATATAATTTTAATGTCCTTAAAAGAGAAGAACAATTTGATTGTTTACTTAAGGATGTTAGAAACATGGGGTTGTTCTTCTAAGTCATGTGATATTATTGCTGAGTTATTCATGGCTCACATAGCACATATTTTTTTTCGATGGAATTGACTAACAAAATGCTCGTTTAGGGCCTTGATGTAAAAGACTAAAACTATGTTATGTCTATATTTAATGGTTGTCGATGGTGACACCAGCCAGATTTTAATTGCCGCTGATCAATAAACTAAAGGAAGTAATAAATTATTTGTTTTATTATTTGAATAAGATATCAAGACATTAAAAATAAGCGCTTTTTGTCTGCCCAACCTTCTTGTGGTTTTTTGGGGGGGTCCTCTGGTTCACCCCCCATTCCAAAAGACACTTAAGTGCAAGCAAATTATTGAAATAAAATTGTACAATGTTAGTCCCTAAATGACCTAATTTGTGTCATGTTAATGTTAAGTGCTCTTACTTGTATACTGGCCATTTGCATTAATTTGGTTTGACTGTAGAATTGACATGGCATGTTCGTGGGCGATATAAGGTTCATCCCTTCAAACCAGGCTAGCTCACTATAACCAGAGTTCAGTCCCAGAAAATTCTCTGTGATATTTGAGTGTGATTACTACTTGTCTGTGATCCACTATGGTTGGCTTGGCCAGAAAGTGTGTTCAGATGGGATGAAAAACTGAGGTCCTGTGTACATGATGGCATGTGCGTACAGAAATAAGAGTAATGCCACTGCTTGGGCAAAATTTCTGTCATACCCCCCTCCCACCTCCCTCTCCCAAAACTATTAAGTTTAGAGAATTTATAGATTCTTTATCCTTGGTCCAGAACGGCAACCTTTGTCCTTGAATGAAACCACTCACATCAGAATTGTATTCATTCTTATAAAAGTAAAAAAGAAACAGACCAACGGATGATATAATGATGCAAATGTAAGTTAAATGGTTGGTATATAAAAAAAAAAACTACACTGATGACAATACATATATTAGGCTAGTTTATTAGTCTTTAAACTGAAGATAATTTATCAAGGATGCGGGTATGGGAAGTTTCACAATCTCGTACAAACCATAAGTTGACAGAATAGTCTGTCGACATAGCATTTTTAATCCACCCCTATTTCTTTCATTAGTTAGTGATTCTATATTTATTTTCTTTACTACAACATGATGGGAAGCTCCACGTTTATATAGCCACACCTGAAGTTTAGTATCGCACAGTGAAAAGGTCACTGTCAAACTCATTGTGTCTAATTTAAATTTCCTTTTATCCAATTGAAAGTCTTCACTGTGCATATTTTTTAATGTTTCTGCATTGTAGAAAAACAACTTGCATGTAGGAATTGTTTCGTCTGTTACACCCTGACAGTACAGGACTACTATATCTCCAGCTCGATTTAAACATAAAGAACATCCAGTCAAGGTAAAATATTTCTGATTGTCATCCAAACTGTCATCGGATTCTGATGTAGGTTCTGTAATTGTAACCGATCGAACACCCATTCTATGAACTTTCTGCATTAAATTCTCTCCAGAATCTGAACAACTAACAGTGAATTTACATCGTTCAAGATATGGCTCTAAGTCTGCTGTCAAAATATCACCATTTTTCAGGTATAGAAAACAATGAAACATACGGTCACGAAGAGAGTAGGGTTGTGTTCCAAGTAAGACATTGTCAGGTGTGATAGGTCGATCAAGAAATGTATTTTTAACTTTAAACATTTTGGTCCATTTTTTCAGTTTTGTTATAGCTTGGGGCAGTCGTAGTACACACAAGGTTTTGTCTGGACTAATGTGACATCGGAGTGGGCTGATTGCTGTGAAATCACTGGTAAAAAAATGAACAGTATCTTCAAAACACTGTAAAGTTTTGGACTTCAGAAAAACTGCCATAAATCGAATATATTTACATGATGCTGTAATATACTGGAGTATTAGAAATTCATCTTTGCAGCCAATACACATGGGTCGACCAACAACTCTATCTTTCTGAAAGCTATCTGGCAGTGCAAAGTCGTAAGTTACAGACTTTGCATCTGACAGTTTCATGTCAAAGCTCAAGAAAAATTCCCTGACCTCTAACTGGTTCTCTGCCTTTTTCACCAAAGCTTCAATAAATCTTCCCTCCATGCATTCAGTTCGGGTGCCATGGAAAATGTAATTGGTCAACGTTTCTTTACTAGTGTTTGCAGTCATTTTAACAGATTTCTGAGGCGGTCAAGTCAAGTCTATCCAGACTGTTAGTTGAATATTCATGATGAGGAAAGACATGATATCCGCGTTTACCTGAAACGTCAACAACTTTCACATTGCAACCTTAACCTTTCAATCGGGCGTCCCTGACCTTAATCGAAAACAAACAAAATGGCTGCTCTTGAAGGTAAACACGTGTTTGTTGTCTATAAAATATTAGAATTTAGACTGCCATAAAGCAGTGAAATGAAATACCATTATAATACGCTATCGTCGTATACCCAAGCATCTATAATGCAAGAGCAACAGATCTACCGAACCAATTTTCTCTTTGTTAAAACTGAAATTAAATCTGATTTAATATATTTTGGTTTTGATTGTCAAATGAAATTGGAAGTTCAAAAGTTGTGATTGTCACTAGGCCTATCAGGAGTAGGATTAAATAGACCCCAATCTCTAACATGGATTTCATTGTTACCCCAGCAGTGGTCATTCAAATTGAATACCATGATGTTTTCCATGGTTCTACCATGGACCGTATATCTACAGTCCATGGTTTTAACTTCTAATCATCAAAACTGGTATTCACATAATTATAATAAAATAAATGTTGCCCTGCCTATTAAAAATTCTAATAACCTGTATTCAGTGCCGGACTGTTGGCCCACCTGTCAGGTCATTGACACACAAGTACACGCCGAAGGCACGTCACGAGCACGCCGAAGGCACGCAAACCTCCGAGGGTGGTCTGAGGGTCTCCCCCCAGGAAAATTTTGAAAATTGACAACCGCAAACCCATTTTCCAAGCATTTCAGACTAAAGCAGAAGAAGGCAAATTTTTTTTTTCTCCTGTCATGTGTTCTGTCCTTTCCTTATTTCTTTTTTTCTTTCCTCCCCCTCTCCTTTCTTTCTCTTTTCTTTTTTTCTTTCTTTTTTTTTCTTTTTTCTTTTTTCTTTATAGGCTTAGACCCACTTTTTTTTTAATGAGCTTAGGTGGACAGGTGGGCCCAGTCCGGCACTGCCTGTATTATAAAGCACACAGAACTTGTTTGGGTAGTGCAGGGTGGATTAAGATTGATTATTCCTCTGCGAGAAGGATTAATTGGTAGTAATTATGGTCACATACTGTTTAATTTAATTGTGTTTGTATAGTTTAAATTATATCTAACTTAAACCATGACGACGTTGCTTCAAAAGCCAGTTAATAAGGAGCAGGATGATTTACCCAATACAACCCAATACCACCCAATACTAATTGAAAACTACCACATACTACCTGATTATTGTGAAAAACTAACATAATACTTCAGTTATTTAAAAAAAAGAGTCAATTCGTGGAAAATATGCCAAAAAATGTAAAACAAATATAATTGTCAATGTCTCGCTATTCAAATATCTTCCTTGATCACCCAATACTTACCGTATATTAATCCATAGAATAAAAAATCAATCCATTTCTGTAAAATAATGGGCCTTTATTACAAAAACAAATGAGATAAAAGTACAATTATTTGGATAAAACTATGTTTGTGGAAAATAAATTATTTATTCAATGTTGAGCTGTTTTATCACTGATATTGTAAATAGAAATTTTAAATGTTTACAGTTATAAGAATTAACTCAATGATATTGAAGTAATTGAAGAATTCTGTCAGTTTCGGATAATAATAAGGTAGTATGTATTTTGTAGTATAGGGTTAGAATTTGGTAATATTTGGCTAGTCTTTGAGCTGCCAGTTACTGATACTATAAATAGACTCTTCTAGTTTAACGTAACAATTTTGCTAATTCCTCAAATTAGCTCAATTTTTTTTGTTGTATAATTCAACAACTGTTATAGTTTTTCACAATAGTGAAGTAGTATGTGGTGGTATTTAAAGATACATTATGGGAGATTAGATAATAGTTAATTACTAGATAATGTAAAGGGAATTTGCTGAAAATTTCAGTCAAATTGATCCACTGTGAACCAAGATTTTACCGATTGAATTTTCGGTCTAGCCTCGGTCATCACTACTAAAGTTGGTACGATAAAAAAACATAGTCTCGATTATCCATTTCATGATTAAATCATAAATGAAAGTTGAGCACCAAATCGGATCCTAATCCAATAAATATCGCAGGCTAGCAATGACATTGAGAGTTGATTAGGGTCTGGATAAGTTAATTAATGTCTAATTAATAATTTAGACAATTTAGATTAATAATTTAAAGACAGACCTGAAATAGTCAGAATTAGCTCTTGCATGGTATGTGTTTAATTATTATTGGGTGGTTTTGGGTAGAATTAGGTAAATCAACCCGCCAAATCTTTTTCCTCTAAATCCCCACTGGTAACTCATAAGAAATCATGAAAAACATTGCCTAAGCTTACCTCATCATTTGCATCTGACCAAATAGAAATTTTGTTGAAAAGAATACCTAAATACATTATCCTAATGATTTTTGTCAAGCATATATACATGCACTCAAGGAGTCATCATATTCAGGGAGCGTATTAACATTCTACTTTAAGCAAACTGCCATAGCTTTCCACCATATATATATATGGATGAGTTGTCTGCATATTGCAGTCAGTGTAACATGTAAGTACACTGGTTGACAATAAGCAATGAGTTAATTATTTGAGGGTGTATTTGCGAGTCTATAATTTTCTTTTTCCTGGTAAGTAGAAAAATATTACACTAATAATTTCTTGATTCAGTAACGATGGCAAAATTATATATGCTAGCTAGAAATGATATATCATTAATTACATTACATCAGGCAATACTAATTGTATAAACTATCCATTTCCTTAGATTTTTCTGTATCCATGGATTCTGAAGAAGATGGGTGGTATGATGAAGATGATGATGAAGAAGATGATGAAAGCAATGAGCTGATTGGTCCTGTCAAATGTTTATTTTGTGATAGCATCCAGTCTTCAGCTTCATTATTATTTGATCATTGTCAAGATAAGCATGATTTTAGTATCAGTCATGTTTGTAGACTGTGGAATTTGGACAGTATATCATATATTAAGATGATTAATTTTATTAGATTAAAGGTATGTTTTACATATACTCCACTTGTTTATATAAACAATCCTACTGATATTTGTTTTTGTCTGTAGTTCATACATATGATTTACTTTCTTGACCACTGGATAAGATTGATTCCACCGCTTAGGCCAAAATAACAAAATACCTGTGGTTGGTGATTTGGGCTAAAAACAAAATGGAGTCAGTCGGGTAACTTTAAACATAGGTGAGATATAGAAGGTTTGAATTGATTCAATCAGTGTGTTATTTGAATTAGTATAAAGTAAGCTCTGTGTAGCCAACCAGAGAATAAGTAGACAGACTTCATGATTTTGGTTTTAATTTGGTTATAACTCATAATTGCTCAATATGCAGACATTCAACATCTCTCAAAACAAACAGACCATTTTATTTTTCACCCAATTTAAAACAGTGATGTTTTCTTTTTATGTTTCTAAAGTCATTCAAATGAGTAATTGCTACAGGTAATTGCTTAGAATAATGAAATGTTAATCCTTCTTCTTCAAATTCATTTGGTACATGTATGATCAAACCAGATACCTTGGACCATGAAACTTTGATTTAAAATTTGGCCTTATTATTCTTATCTTTTATTTCTAATTTTGATATTGTTTTATAGAAACCCAGTGGTAATAATTTATGTAACAGAAATATAGAGCAGCAGCCACCATGGTATAGTGATGACTTTATGAAACCTGTTGATCCTGAAGATCTGCTCCTACAATACGGTAAAATATAACATAATTTACTTATATCTTAAGTCTCAGGGGCTCACGGTGGCTAAGTGGGTAAGGAGCTGGCTCGCTAGCCTGGAGGTTGGGTGTTTGATCCCTACCATTGCTGAGAAAGTGCAGCTGTCCGGTCAAAATTTCGCTCATAGCACACTGTATGGTGTATGCCCGTCTTCATTAGCCCAGTTCAGAGCAGAACAGTAGGACGTTAAACCCCATTTCATTTCATTTCATTTCATTCCTCAGGTCTCATCTCTGGACTCATGAAGTCAGGAATATGCTATGTAGACTAGTGTGCTATGGGGAAAATTTTCCCCAAACAGCGGCACCATAGCCTCATTCCAACTGTCAAAGGTTCTTTTACATACACACATTGTTCCTTGCCAGACCCCCCGTCCTGTACCACTGACAAGGGGAAACCAAGCCGGAAAATCCACAGTCAAAACCAGGAGGGAATCTAAAACCTCCTGGTTTACGAGCCAGCATCTAATTTACTGAGCCATTATGACTCTGTTTTAAAATACATACAGTTAGACAAACTTGAGCGATGGTAAGTGGACAGGAAAATCAAACACTACATGTATGAAAAGGGATACATCCTGTTTCAAAAGTAAACATATCCTGTCTCATGCACTACTATTTATAAACCTGACTGATTTACTGAATACTTGCTTATGATGTAAATTGTATTAAAAAACTTTTGAGGGTAGATTACCCTATCAGTGACCGATGTTCTTCACATAATCTCCAGTCTTTGATGGATCATCAGATCGAAAGAATTCTTTCTATATAGATGTATGATATACATATGCATGTATTTAGTAAATTAATCTTCCTATTTTAACATCTTGAGAGATGCTTTTGTCTTGATCTCTTTTCTTTTAGAATTAGGTCAGTCTGACTGAAATACAGAATTCAGTCAATGACATAAACTAAACCATAAAATCATTGGTCCTTTGGCGGGGGATTGTTCCATCATTTGCAGAATATGCCTATAGAATACCCTTAATTATATATAGCCAAGGACCAGCGATGTATAATGCACTAAGATAACATTTTATTTCTCTCACAGATATAGAATCATTGAACATGGAGGATAAGTCAACTCAACCAAACGGTCAACCACTCAAATCAGATATAATATCAGTTAATGGAGGAGACAAAGAGAAGATAACTCTGTCTATATCAGAATATCATGAATTATTAAACAAAATACAAGTATCAGAATCACGAGCTATCATGGCAGAATCAGATTTACAAACAGCTCTAGAAGATATGAACAAATTAAGGTAAAGCCCAATAATATTTTGTCCTTTTAATGACATTTAATATATTGCCTATAAATCCATATTAGTTTTTTCATGTCGGGCAAAATATGCTTGTGAATCCATTGGAAATATCATTTTTCATTCAAAGTTTTAGAATGCATTGATTTACTGTTGCGTTAAGGCCTTGCTTTTAAAATAGAATGGTTAATGAAATGTGACCTAAACATGTTGTTTATTGATGAAAGATTTTGCTTTATATTCTTCATTGATAGAGTTTGAAATATTTTATTTATAATCTTTTTGCTTAGATCAGCAGCTCAGAAATTGATGTTAGCAGAACCCTCAGTACCAGTAGGTCCACCTAGTGTACAAAATCTTCAACAAGATGAAGACGAATCATATTTCGACTCTTATTCACATTTCGGTATACATCATCAAATGTTACAAGTAAGTTCATTGGTCCTATTGACAAGGTAATTGATTGGCTAATGATTATAGCTATACTCAGTGGAATGTTTTTTGCCTATATGAATCATAGTTAAATTTGATGGGAGACAATCACCCAAATATTTCATTTCAGATTGGTTTAAAAGGGAGATTTTCCAGATTGCCACAGAATATTTTTTTTTCATTTGATGATACAATTACTATTGGCAATGGTCATACATATATGAGGCATAGATTATGCACAGTATCATTGTTTCATCTGTCAGCCCAACGACCCCAATATATAATATGTTCAGAAATTAAATTTTTTTTAATTTGTCACTATAAGGATGAAGGTACATACTTTTATTCAAACCTGGCAATTTGGCACATGTTACAGACATTGTCAGGCACAAATTCAGGTTTTTTTCAGGTACAATCCCTCTGGCGTCAGTCGTTTAAGTCCTGCACAATTTGTCTATTAGGCCACATCGACAATACTATATACCGGAAAACACCATGTTATACTGAATACCGGAAAAACACTAAATACTGGAAAACATACTAAATACCCTAAATAGGTAACCCGGAGACTGGCACCCTAAATAGTTTAGGGTTAGTTTCTGGTTTATAGTATAGCCCTTCTCCGGGTTACCTATTTAGGGTGTTTTCCAGTATTTAGTGTGTTTTCCTGTATTTAGTGTTTTTCCGGTGTTTTCCGGTATTCAGTATAACATGGTGTTTTCCGGTAGTTTTCCAGTGTTTTTCGGTATATAGTATAGCCCGACCACATCAATTTGATTTTCTATTCTTTGAGAACACCTGTAAAATTTTCCTTCTTATTTCTGCGGGAAAACTTGCTGATCAAAAGCTTTTAGTTCAATATTTCTATGTTTGGACATTAACAAAACATCTTTCATCTGATTCAGATGGCTATTTATTTATCAAGACTCTGAAGAAAAGAAAATCTAATTGGTGTAGTGGTACAGTGTATTTATACATATTACTAATACATGTCCATCACAAACATTCTAAATACTAGATTACTACTGAAATCATTACTTCACTTTTTTTCTTACAAATATAGTACATGCTTTTGTAAGAATAAAACAAATTTGGAAGCCACATGTTTCTTACATAAATATCTACTTCCAACTGAATAATAAATTTGTGTTATACTTATGTATTTAAACCACTGGGCTGGTTATCTTTTAACACCAGTAGCCTTCACCTTCTTAAATCAGTTATCTATCTATATAGTGATGTGCACAGGGCATGGTATACTTATTCTTTACAGAACACCTGGTACCACTTCTCATTGGAAGAGTTTTATTGTATGTTTTGTTTTTTGTAAAGAATATAATCAAATATTTATAATTTTTAATGCAACATTTCAGGATAAAGTTAGAACAGAAAGTTATCGGGATTTTATGTTAGAAAATCGTGATTATTTTAAAGATAAAATAGTTCTAGATGTTGGTTGTGGTACTGGTATTCTCTCAATGTTCGCAGCTAAAGCAGGTGCCAGTCATGTGATAGGTGTTGACCAATCAGAAATCATTTATCAAGCTATGGATATTGTAAGGTAAAATGCATTACTAATCTCAATCCTTCTTAATACGGTCCAATAAAAGTTCATAATAAATTCATTGTAAGATGTTATTTTTGTAAGGCAAAATATGAACAGGGTAGTGGTTGGTGTGAGGAGGCTGGGATGAGCCTTACCCCATTACATGTACATGTATATTACTATTTATTTATTTTATGTCACCCTCTCTTTTCAATGCTCATAAGCATACTTCACAAGTTAGATTAAGAATCAGACATGTAAAAATCTGGCCAAACTATAGTAGCTTCTATTAAAAGATGTAAAGTTCTATAAATGATAATGATTATATTTTGAATATGTTCCTCCTATTAAATAAGTGTTTATTTATAGGGAAAATGGTTTACATGACAAAATAACTTTATTAAAAGGCAGATTAGAAGACGTGGATCTTCCCTATGAAAAGGTAAATATCTCACTCGGTTTTAACTAGTTCTCAAATACAAGTTCAAACTGCACGCAGCGATCCTTCTATGTCATACTTCGAGATTATGATCACTGCCCCAGTTAGACTCCATTTAAAACGCTCACGTGATCATTTTGGGGCGGGACTTATCGACAGGACTACTGCTTTGTGTACACAACAGAGTAAAAATAACCCGATGAAGCACATGTATTATGTAAACACGTGTCATTTGCAAAATGTCCACTTCTGCCACTACGTTAATAGCGGTATATAATATGTGCTAGTGGGTAATATTGCAATACATTCTTTGTCATTGTAAACTATCCTTAAAGTTTTAATCTGTTTATCTTTTAAAAACAAATTTAGATACTCCTAAATTTGTCTTCGCAAACAAAACCGCCTCTGTGAAATTATGTTTCATGGGCGCCGCCATATTGAATAATTAGAGGACTATTTTGTGATTCGGCTTTGATTAATTTGACATCTTTCATACACACAGCGGCTAAATAAACATATTTAATTTCATTCAATATGACAAAAGAAGAGAAATAAATACTTTTAAAAATTACTAACAGCATACTCAATGTTTTCGACTAAAATTGTCGATGTAGGAATTAAAATGTCGGGTAATTAGCTTAGGGCCTGTTCTCAGGCGTAGCTAGCTGTAGACAGGCAGCCTAAGTTTGGGATGATACAAGTTCAGAGGACGAATTTGACCGAATTGAGTAATGACATAATGTGAAATTGTCACATAAGATGAATCCTATTATGAAAGGTGTTACCAGGTTTTCATTAAAGGATAAGCATGCCGAATAAAACAGAAACATTAGGTTTGACCAATATATCTGTAACGATAGCAGATACATACAAGGTATAGAAATATTATTCTTGGTAATTATCCCAGTTTCAGTAATTTCCATGTTAACATTTTGCTGTAAGCTTTTGATTGGGGTATGTTGCTGCATATAAATGTAAAATTAACTATTGAAGTCATCACACTTATCAAATAGACAAACATAGAGTTTTCATTTTACATCAAATACAAGACAAAAATCCAAATCATATATGCATTTGTCATGTTCAGTGTCAGTGGTGTTTTTAATCTCCAATTCATTGGGACAAACTGTGTGATTTGATGATATAATTGAACTAAAAACATATTCAAACTAATTTGAGTTTACTTCAAGTCCCTATCAAACATATGATTGCAAGAAAATTACCCTGTAATGCAAGAATCTATTTTAAGAAGCCTTGTTTGTCACATGACTTGATTGAGGGAGAATCCATTTTTAGTTTGCATTTGTTGTTATTACCATAAATATCAAATCCTAAGTAAATTCTTGGATTTTCTTTTTTTTTCCACTGTTTAATCGCAGATTCTACTGGATGTTTAATTATGTCTAAGTGTTCTCACAACACATAAGAGAATCCAGTATTTTTCTAGTAGGATTGAGTATCTACATTCAATACATACCAAATATACCATACTTTTATTGGAAATAACTACCTATAAATACTGTATATATTTTTATAAAGTATAAATACTCACTAAAATTTCACAAAACATTATCAAGAGGCCTGTACATGTTATTAAAGTATTTGTTCTTTTGTATGAGTCGCCTGTCCAACCTCGTGGGTTTTCTCTGGGACCTCTGGTTTCCTCCCACTGCTAAAGACCCCTACGCGCAAGTTAATTATTTAAATAAAATTAAACCATATGTTAGTCCCGAAATGACCTGGTTTGTGTCTCTCTCTCTCTTTTGTATGAGTCTGTGGATAAATTCTTACTCCTAAGAATACAGAAACATAAGGAACACATTTGGTTCCCATAGGAATAGCAATGGTAATATTTGATAAGGTAGAAAATTTATTTTTCTAGATTCATACAGAATATTTTTGTCATTATTTAAGGTTGATATAATAATATCTGAATGGATGGGATATTTTTTACTATTTGAGTCGATGTTAGACACTGTATTGGTAGCTAGAGACAGATATTTAAAACCTGGTGGTATGGGTAAGTCCAGTAAAATAATTTTATAAATGTCTCTTAGGTTGTTGTCCAACTCTGCATCATTTTCTTTTAGTATTCTAGTATTCCATTTTCGGTGAAATGTCAACAAAAGCCTTGGAATGAATTATATTGTCAATCAATTAACCAAGTCATAAATACATGTATTTAATAAAAAAGATATTTCTTGATCAAATGGTTAGGCGGTTTTGGGAACATTGACTTGTGTCAACGTACAAATTTACTTAGGCTTCAATATGTATGATAAATGGACATTAAGTAACAAAAGATACATTCTGAAAATTGGACCCTCCTTGAATGAATTGAACTGACAGACTTGGTGTCTAACAACAGTTTATCTATAGCTTATGGTATCTCCTGCTGAATACAAAGTTTTGAGAGGGATTTGAAGCAAATTTTTGATAGATTAATTAGTTTGAATATGTTTTTCGTCCACATGTATCATCATATGACACAGTTTGTATACAGGAAAGTATCTTCAAACAGATTGTTCAGTTGACTCCAGGTTCACTAATGGGGTTTATATATTGTTCTGCACCAGTGAAGGAAATTTAGACCTAACAGTGAACTATGGCCTACTTTTATTTTGCTTTCCAACTGTCATTGAATGTTTACTGTTCTGCCAATGGTATGCACAAGCCCTCCATCCTGCATTACTGACAAACTGGGCAACCAGACTTGAAACTCGAGAGGAACTTTCTCACCTAACACTAGAATTGGTGTACCAATGACATGCTAACCTATCTTCAATAGAAGGCTGGATCTCGCTTTAATTCTGTCCATCTTATCAAGGTCTTCATGTAATACCCTGCATATTTCGGCACTAATTTCATTTGGGTATTCATCCAGCTTGAAAGCCTATCAGATTCCTCAATCATCGGAAATACCAAGCCTTGCGCTTTCCAGCTGAAATGTCTACCTGTGATAATCGAGTTGCAAAGTTCAAGGTTCGTTCAATGTCATGGTTTCCGCGGAGGTCGCTATATTTGATTTGAGTGGATTGTGTCACAACTTCTGATTGGACGCTTTTGTTCATGTGTCTGCAGTACGTGAAGAGAAAAAATGTAGCTGTAAGTTTGAGAATTGCAAAGTAATCTAATGTCAAGATGTTTATTTTCAGTGTTTCCTGATATATGTACCATATCTCTAGCTGCTATAGCTGATCAAAAACTCTATGATAAAGATGTTAATTTCTGGGATGATGTTTATGGTTTTAAAATGAGTTGTTTAAGAACAGAAGTTATAAAAGAATCATGTGTTGATGTAATTGATAATAAAACAGTTATTACAGACCCCTGTGTCATAAAGGTAACTATTACAGTATTTACAGACCCCTGTGTTATAAAGGTAAATATAACATACCCCTGAGTCATAAAGGTAAATATTACATACCCTAGAGTCATAGAGGTAAATATTACACACCCTTTTGTTATAAAGGTAAGATGAAATGAAATGGGGTTTAACGTCCTACTGTTTTGCTCCGAACTGGGCTAATGAAGACGGGCATACGCCATACAGTGTGCTATGAGGGAAATTTTGCCCGGACAGCGGCACTACGGCCTACTCTTATATCGAATTCCAACTGTCAAGGGATCTTTTACGTGCACGCCAATGTGTACACGGGACCTCGGTTTTTCGTCCCATCCGAACGACTAGACAGCTGTCCTTGTCAGCCCCTCCGTCCTGCATCACTGACAAGGGAGAACCACGCCGGAAAATCGGGATGAACTTTCTCGGCCAATGCAGGGATCGAACACCCGACCTCCAGGCTAGCGAGCCAGCGCCTTACCCACTAAGCCACCGTGATCCCCCTGTTATAAAGGTAAGGTAGCAACAGTGGTTCAGTGTGTAAGACGCTATCTTGCTAGTCTGGAGGTCGCAGATTAATCCCGTTGTTGGTTGCGACTGTTCATTAGGATTTTCCAGCGTGGTTTCCCCTTGTCAGAGTTCCTGACAAGGATAGCTCTCTAGTCATTTGGATGGGATGAAAAACCGAGGTTCCGTGTACACATTGGCGTGCATGTAAAAAGATCCCTTGTCATAATATTTTCTCTTTCTTTCTTCGGTCAAATTTTCATGAAAAGATACTTTCCTAATATTGGTTATTTCCAATAAAAGTAAGGCAATTTTGGTATATATGGAAAGTAGAAACATCCAATCTTACTAGAAAACTACCGGCTTGGCACTAGGTATTTCCTCACGAATACAATGTTTTGAGGCATACTCATACCTACCCATTGGCAGTCCACAAGATAAATAAATATTACAGACCTTTATAAAGATGACAATAATTACAGATATCTGTAGCATATAGATTTTGAAGAGATGTGAGGTATAAATTATTCTCCTTTAGCACAACTCCATCAGTGAATTTGTTGAATGGGCATCTGTTTTATCTTTGTCATATTTTATTGCGGTGGCAGCCGAACTTCTATTATATACACAAAAAATAAAGTTGTTAAAAGTCTATTATAAAGTAAAATTTAATATTTTTGGTTTTTGTCTTTTATAATAAATAGTATTTTTGTAAATGTTTCAGGAATTAGATATAAGTGTTTGTAAAATATCTGATCTCCAGTTTAATACCCCATTTAGTCTGCATGTTAAACGTGATGGAGATATTACAGCTATAATTGGTTATTTCAATATTTATTTTAGAAAAGGATTAACTAAACCGGTGAGCTCATCTAATTTTTAATATGTATAAATATATAAATGTCAAGGTTCATATGATACACTATCATGCCAATATATAAGCACACCTGGACATAAGGCACCTGTCACAGGCTTTTTCAAGTACAAATTATCATACAATGTATATGTTTATATACATACAAACCTAGACAGAAGACACCTGTTTTGCCAGGTTCTTTATGTCCAGGCTTATATATAAGGCATATATCCTCACAATACTCATAGGTAAAGTAACATAGCTTACCAGGCAATGTAACATACTCCCACCAGCATCTTGGTCTCATGATTTTATTTTTTTTTTAAAAAAACATACAGTAAGTTATGTTGCGACCAACAACAACACCAGAACTACTTTGCAAAAATGCTAAAAATCTATAAGGACGATGTACACTCCAAATATTTGAGAAGAATTATCTCTGTAGAATAAGTATGTGTATGGTAATGTGCATTTATCAAGCATCATATCAATCAGGGGCCATAACTAATTTTGTGAAAATGCCCCAATTTGATTGTGACCACCCATATCACAGTACTGATTATTCCGGAAATAGGTAAATAATTAAACTTTTATCGTCAATCATATCAGAAGAACTACGATTCCGAAAATTCTTAAAATTGATAGGGCCCATCAATTTCCAAAAACCAAACCATCCCAAAAACCAAACCATCCCAGAACGTTTGTTGAAATTTGGTGACAAACTTAAACTCTGTAGAAGTGAGTTCAAGTAAATGTGGATGGACGACCTCATTAAAATATGGATGTGTAGAAAAGGCAAAGACAAATAGATTCATTTCCAGCAAATCTTGCAGGACATTCTTCATGGTTTGGAAAAAAAGAATTTTGTTGCTTTCAGTTTCAAATTTTTACAAAGCAAACTTTAGATAAAACTATATCTTAACAATATTTGTGTGGACCTTTTTTACAGATTGAATTTTCAACCGGACCAGAATCAACACCCACTCACTGGAAACAAACAGTATTTTTATTACCCAAACCATTACCAGTTGTAAAAGGTAACTTATTCACTTTTATAGTTATTTCTAGATATCTTTAGTTCATGCTTATCCTTTCTTAACAATTATCAGTTGATTAGGCATCCTGCCTTTTGGGTAGTTCATGTAACTATTCATCATTTGATATGTATTATGTTGTTAATCACAGTCTTTGAGAACGTCGAAATGGGTGGATTTGAGTGCAATAAATGCACATTGTGGCTGTTGTTGAAAAAATGCTGATTTTTGTGTTCTCTCTTACATAACCAGTCCAATTGTTCTTGGTTTGATTCTATCAGATAACTCTTTAAAGCCAGAATAAGTTACTATTGATTTGAAATCTGCTTTTTTTTTTCTTCAGGTGAAAAATTAGATGGAATGATATCTTGTAAAAAGAACAGAAAAGATCCCAGAAGTTTAGTGATATCGTTAACCTACAACGGACTCAAACATTGTTATATCATGGAATAAATTTGTTTTATATCTTGTGTGATAGTCAGTCTTTATTGAACCTACCTGGTGCTACAATAGGATAGTGATGTAGCACCTATTTGCTGTTTGAAAAAATACATAAGATCTGGTCATGGTTTCTACTGAGAGCACTGTGTAACCTTATTTTCTATCAAAGTTGGGGGTTGGATGGCCGAATGGTTAGCACGTGCGCGCTGTTAACCATGAGTTTACTGACAGTAAGGAAGACGGGAGGAAGGACGAGAGGAGCATTGAAGAGTGGAGACACCGGGTATGGACTCACCCGAGTTCAGTCACTGTCGTGGCAGAGGGGCGTAATGCTTGTAATATAGTCATGTACTACGAGTATGTTATTGTCTATGTTACTGGTGTAGTATAGTTCCTGGTTTGGTTGATGTTCCAGTTTTATTTATATTCCTGTTTTATATTCTTATCATGTTTCTGATGTAAATAAGTTTTATATTTACAAAACGGATATTCTGTTATCACTAATAGTGGTAACATTAATTTATTAACTACTGAGTTGATTTTAAACCAGTACTCCCTGAATACATATTAATCTCATCAATTACTTGCATATTTATCTTTTTATAAAGAATTTAGCAATCCAATTGCTTATCAATCTCCTTAACCTAAGCAGAAAATGAAACTATATTAACCAAGTTTCATCACTCTCACTAATTTAATAATAAAGTTATGTTCCAAAGCATCAACAAATCAAACTGCTTCTCTTTGCTTGGTAGAAAATGCTCATAATCAAATTCTGTCAAATGGTTTGAAGATTTTACCCGAATTGAAGCAGAGTTATTTATTCCGAAAAGTGAGACAAACTTATTTCAATAGACTTCTGCTTTCTCTGAAAGAGATGGGACAACAATTGTGAATGAAAATATCAAGGAGGGGTATAATCTCTATTACTGCAATATATGGCTTCAGGACCATGAAACTGCATCATATATGTTAAGGAGGTTTGCCCTTTTAACATGTAGGAGAATGTTAAAGCATACATCTTAACACCATGACTAATCATTATGAAGTTTAGAATAACCTGTATCCAAGTTCAACCCATGAATTCCCCTTTAGCAAACCAAAGATGTATTCTACTTTTTACATCACAAGTTTATCCACATTCAGAAGTTACTCCAAAGGAAACTTCATATTTAAATTTATAAAGTGTGTAAATATACATGAATCATTACAAAACTTTTTTTCTAAGGCAAACAATCCATCAAGAATCTCTTTTACAGCGAAATCCACAAAATTAATGTACCTGGTATTCCAAAATGAACCGAATATAATAGGTAATTTTTCAACTGTAGCATAAAGTTTTGGAAACTGCCGAGTTGGAAGTTTCGTAGATGACGATTTGATTAATAACTAGTACTATATATCTAGAGATTGTTTTATTTAGTCTTTGATTATTTTTTACATATATGTATATCTATATATGTAGAAAGAAAGAGCAAGGTTATAATAGAGATATAACATGGACTAAAGGTATATAATCTAACAATAAAATCATTAAATAAAAATAATAATATTAAATATTTATTACTTATCTATACTGCCTTCTAATGCAATGTTGTCATGAATATTTCTATAAATCTTAAGTAATATCCATGGCTTACAATGTACATGTTTTACTTAATTTTAGCACAGAAATGGTTATGCATGTTCACTATTAGGCATAAAACAAACCGCCAGCATATATATAAAACACAATATTTTCTAACTGAATTTGGATACAGAAAACCTATCTTTTCTATGCAAGGATGTTGACACATTCTTAAACAGATGAATATTTACGCCATTTAATTGTACCTGTTATGTGAATTTATCATTGGAATTCAGTAAGATGAATAGGATTTCAGTAGTTAATGGTTTTTAAAGCATGAATCAATGCTTTCAAATACTACCATAATATGATGGGACAGTTAGGCTAATTATGATGTTACAACAGAGATAATCAGACAAGCCACCATTTTCATTATATCAGGAAAAGGTACAGAAAGAATACCAATAGATTGTTTTTGATGAAAACAAAATTATGCAAGATTTATACATTTAGAACATGTTTATAACAAATATTTTGCATCATGATAAATGACACACGAGATTATATCAGAAACCATTATCATAATTACTGTCCTTTTCACCCAAATTTTCCCCATACATGATTATGTAATAACTTAATAATTCAACCATTTATTATTATGCATTGTGTAGGATTTAGCTTTAAGAATACCACCAGAATAACTATATATGTTAAACATAATATAATAATTGTCTATGACAAATATATATATAATATGAACAAACTAAATTAAGTAATTGGTACAATTATTGAACTTATGGATATAATTCATGATACATTTATTACACAAAAAAAAAAAAAATAGCTTGATATATCACAGATGTAATTTTATATGTATAATTTGAAACAAAACTTTAGAAAATCAACAAATTATAAATAAATGCGGAAGGCAAGTTTTGAGGTTGAGTACATGTAATATTAATAAGAAGAAAAAAACACAATTTGTTCCTAATATTTCCCTTCGTTTTTCATGCAAATAATATATGATACTTCCTATTCATTTCATGTTTTTTTTTTTAAAAAAAGAAGAAGAAATCACTTATAATGGAATGTTCAAATAGTACACATAAAAGATTATATATACATAACACAAAGCAATTGTCACTGATTATATTAAATAATGCAGATTTCATAAACATTGCAAAGAAGGGGTGAGGTTTAAACCTGCCCTTAGTAATTACTAATTACTATATTTCTAATGAATTAAATTTATTTGAATCAGACAATGTTCCAAACATTATGTTTTCATGTCATTGAAACACAGATAAATTTTAACTTTTTTCATTTAATTTCACATAAATATTACAGATTAAACATTTCCTAAAATACTAACATAATCTATATATTATTTGAATCCCTTTTTGTTCTACTAGTATCGTGCATATTTCAAGTCACAAGTTCCATACTATAACCCTATTCTTTAACTTTAATGTTGTTCGATGTCTATAAACTAACTAAATTGCATAAATTTGAATCAACCCATCAACATAGACACAGTCTGAAATCGAGTCACATTTTAATGCCATTTCCCCTCTGTGAATATCACTCTTCTTCGCAGACACATAAACAAAATTCATTTAACATTAGTCCAATCCACTCTAGTTCTAAATTATGATATCTTTTCATTTTACATATCTTAATATTCAACAACTACAGTTTTAAATCTACACACTTTGTAAGGGCACCCTTAAGTCTAAACCGGACTAATCCCAGTTATAATGGCTGTCTATTTTTTGTCCCATCAAGATCATTTTTTCCCACCACTCTTGCCCATACTAGCACGTAAATTTACACAGGCATCAATCCATGTGTTGGGTCTATCTAACATACACTGCCATATAGCTATTTCCTCACCACGACCATCCATCCATTCTACTGGTTTACCCTCATGTATACCTAAAAAAAAGAAAAATGTTTACCTTGCTAGGAGAAAGAGAAATGGCGTTTAACATAAACTCAACTCAAGCTAGTTCATTTGCGGTCAAACATATGGTACAATTTTATTTCAATAATTCATTGTGCTTAGGAGTCTTTTATCAGTGAGAGAAAACCAGAGGACTCAAGAGCAAATCCACTAGGTTATAGGCAGACGACCCTACTCCTTGTAACATGCAAGTGTGGGGTCGAAACCACAAATTGATAGGGTAAAAATATCTATTTGTTACGATAAAATATACAATTTATTTAACACTGGAGAAATGCTAGGGTACTAGAAAATTTTAATTTATAGCTGAAAAATAATGCATTGGGCAGTGTAGCATACTCATTCTAGAAAACATGATCTGATACGACTGAGCATTGGTTTATGAACAATGGCACATATGACACACCTTCATCAGGAAGTTATAATACAGACAACAGACTTAACAAATCCATAAAATATATAAACATTAAATTTTACAAAACACATCATTCCCAAACGTGTTTAAAATTCTGCGGATGTTCTTTTTTTTACTTTTTACCATCTCAGTCCTAGTCATTAAAATCAATTCTGCATGCTACTATGAGTCGATGATTCCAATATGACGCAGGAGAGACCTGACAATTTGGTATTTTGGATATCATTAATTCTTTAAGTACAGTAATTCGATTGACGTTTTTACTAACACCAATTGGATATTCGACATACATTGCTAACCATTCAGTATTTTGAGATTGAACTTTTATTTTTATCTATGTTGTATATTCAAATTAATAAAAATAAAATTATACACATGTAATTCATAATTCAATTTCAGTATAAATTTAAGCTATTTTGGGAATAGACAGGGTCCCCATTTGCTTAAGTATACTAGGGCCACCACGTGTCTTAATCCGACCCTGTCTGAGTAGAAATTGTTATATATTTTAGTAAATCAGCAGAGAGAGCAAGAAAAAGGATGCATGACACAATGTTCAAAAAAGCCAAGGATATTCCTTTAATTGTACTTACCCATGCCTAGGTTAAATCTAATTCCCCCTAAGAAATCATTACTGGATAGAGTATCATGATCCCATATTGTAAGTTCAAGACTACGTTCAGGAAGGTCATCCAGTAACACATCATCGAATACAAATAAATAATTCCAAACTGGTGAACAATTCTTCTTTACAACAGGAGTCTTTTGCTTACCAGATTTATGTTTATCAGGTAGTAAATACCTAGTAAAATAAAATACAAGCATATGACAAGACTAGTGCACACTAATCCTCAAATTTCTTTCATTCTTGACAACCCTAACCTAAGAATCCTTGTCTACTTACCCTTTACAGAAAGGGTCAGATGTTCCATTTGATCTTATGGCTGTTAAGTTCCTAGCTTCTTTTACCATAACTTGTAATGCTCCTTTCTGGTGTTTAGTCTTTTTGGTTTTAAGTTTTTTGGACGATTCTTTTTCTAGTTGATCTGGTGTGACATATTTTATTGATAAAACTAAATCTCCCTTGTAAGGCATTAAAGACCCTACTTGTGGTTCCTCTAACTGTAAAAATTAAATAAAATAAAATAAAATTTATTTTGTGTGGATAGTGCTGAAAACATTATTCACCAGAGATAATCAATTAATCCCCAGCATATGTCTTACGAGAGAGAGAGAGAAATGGGGTTTAACGTCCATTCGACACAAACCAGGTCATTTCGGGACTAACATATGGTCTAATTTTTTTCCATAATTCGCTTGCGCGTAGTGGTCTTTCGCAGTGGGAGGAAACCGGACATATGTCTTACAGGCAGAAATAAGGGTTCACCATTAACGAAATGAAATGGGGTTTATAATATGTCCTAATTTTCAGCTCCATGTGGGCTACTGAAAATGGGCATACAGACACTATACTGCATATGCTATGAGAGAAATTGCGAATTCCAACTATCAAGTGTTTGTTTATGTACAGGGTAACTCGTTTTTTTTTTTTGTCCCAGCCAAATGACTAAACACTGTTCCTAGCCAGACCCTTCCGTCCTGCACCACTCCAGGTTAGCGAGTAATCACATTACTCACTATAAGCCTCTGTGCCTCCACAACATTAAAGGATATTTCCAGATATTACAGCAGTGTTTAATGATGCATTTTGTCAGGGAGTCAAAGGTCTGTCAAATTAAGCAATACACCTTTAATGTACAATAATAATTCCTTCTAGTATTTGATTCTAGGATATGCACAACAATATGGGATGAAAGAGAAAAACTGTGTCTCCAGGTTCAGTTGCTCAACAGGCTGCATTTCATGGAAACTGTATGCAACAGTCTACCCAAAAGCTCTTTTTAAGCTGGAGGGAATCCATTAGATGGCCAGACACAATGACAGTTTTATGGAGATAACAATAAAATGTTTTACTATTGTATGGCAATCACACATAAAATAAATTGAATTCAAATTCAATTAAATAGGAAACCCTTAAAACTTACTCGTTCTTGTAATAAATACCATTTAGGCGTAGGATCACCGAAAGAATAACAGTCTAACGATAACATAACTTCCCCAAGGAAATCATTTCTACCAAATTTATCATTATTCCACACAGTTAGCCATAATATTCTATTTTCTACTTCACTTTTACTAACATTATACTGAAATTAATATACACATTTCAAGTTATAAAATACATTTAACTATATTATATTCAGTACAACATTGAAAGGTGCATTATGTAAGATTTAGATAATCAGATGGTCTTTCTTGCTATAATATTTTAAAAATAGATAATGAAATGTGAATATACTGAAAAATTTCAATCAAATTACATTATTCTGAGAAAAGTTATGAGTGTTTGAAGTTTTGACAAGATATGACGTAAAAAGTTTCAATTGTCAAGTACCATTGCTACAATAATAAACAAAATTGAATCTCAATTATCCATTTTAATGTTAAATATGGCACAGGTGTTCTAATCCATTCAATACCAGCCATCTGATGTTCTAGAGAGTTAATTATGGGCTTGTCATGTGAATAAATGTCCAAATAATAATATATATATACCATTTGAAGCCAGAAAAAAGACATGCAATAGACAGATTTAGTTAACTATATTCAGTACACACATTAAAACATATTGAGTACACATAATTATTAACATGTTGATAACAACCAAATAAATATGTCCTACTTTTCTGAACTAATCGTGTTATTGAAGACTGGCATACACTTTGTAGAGTTCAATGAGAAAATTTGTGTCTGTTGTACACAGGACTTCGGCTATTCGTCCCATCTGGATGACTAGGAGCTTTTTCTTGCGGACCCCTCTGTCCTGCACCAACAACACAGAGAAACCAGACAAGAACATCTCAAAAAAAACTTTCTCAGCCATAGCCATAACCGTAATAGAATTTGGATGAGATATAACAATATGACTTACCCGTAAAACCTCATCAAATGTTGGGTTTAAAGTATGTTTTTTAATTTTGGTTTTTCTTTTTCCACTTCTTGTTTTATCAGGCAGTAAATATGTTTTTATATAGCTGAAAAGAAAAAGGAAACAGTTCATATTTCAATGGTATATCAAAAATAAAGAAGAGTACAGGTATTGAGGTTATTGTCATTCTGAAATCAACTTATTCATTTTTCTGGACTTCTATACTAAATGATATGGATTTCTATAATAAAAAAATATGTATTTCTAATAAATGAAATATTTTTTTCTAATAAATGAAATATTTTTTTCTAATAAATGATATATATATTTCTAATAAATGATATGCGTATTTCTAATAAATGATGTGTATTTCTAATAAATGGTATGGATTTCTATTGAATTATATGGATTTCTATTGAATTATATGGATTTCTATTGAATTATATGGATTTCTAATAAATGATATGGATTTCTAATAAGTGTGATTTACTTACGGGTCTGATTTATTTTTCTTGGTGTCAACTGGTGCCAGGTCTTTACACTGTTTAACATATATCTCGAGAGCACCTGTTTTATAATTATAATCTACACCTAATAATACTTCCCCACTGACTGGTATCTTACCATAGTTTATCTCACCAGCATCACTATATATACTTAATATACTCTCTCGACTATCCTATTAAAATAAAACAAATATTCTATAATAACAGGAATCTTTAGACCAGCAGTCTGCCAATAAAATGACACCAGATACTCCTATGACAATTTTTCAAATTTCACAAGTAGTTATAAGAATTTGTCAGTAAAATAAGTTCAATACAAATGTATTTTATTATTATTATTTGTACACGCCCAAATAATTAAGTATGGCATAAGTCAGTAAAACACATGAGTCACACAGAAACAAATTAACCATCACAAAAGTCTATGTCCTGATAAATTTAACTTCTAAAATTCATTAGATAGTAATTTAAAACATTGATATACAATATATCTCTTGGAGACCCTAGGGTATACAAAATATTTCATAGAGACCTTAGGGTACAATATATTTCATAGACCTTAGGGTACAATATATTTTTTATAGAGGCCATAGGGTACAATATATTTCATAGACCTTAGGGTACAAAGATCTACCAGCAAGTGCTTCAATACAACTATTGAACTACAAAATAACCTCCACATTTCTAAAAGAATATAAAAGAGTTAAAAACTGAAATTGTTAGTTATTAATAACGAAACACACAATCACCACTAATTGTTAAAGAGAACTCCCCACCAATAGTATTGTTGAATGATTAGGATTACTTTTATTTTGTGAAAAATTAAGGTGTAGATTTGATTTGATCTGATTTTTGATTAATTAACAGAATTGTTTAGTACCCATAGATTTGGTCACTGCTGAGATATTGTCAAATTGAAAATAAAAGCCTCTGTAGGCGGGTGAAGATCAGGAACACTGGTAGATGCATCTATAAAACCAACGTTCAATAACACTGCATAATGAAAAGTGTTTATATAGAGATGTTGCTTTTTTCAGACACATGAAATGTCATCAAATCGGGCTGCCGTAAAACAAACCTCAACCTCAATAGCTTGAATATCAAAATAGCAAGGCTGTTGTGACCAAATCAAATCAACACTTCTTCTAGTCATACAGGTTAAGAACATAAACTAAATTGTTTTATTGGCTGACATTAACTGACAGTTAAACAGGTTTGGTGTTAGAACATAAACCATAAACTATAAATTGGCTTCATAAAACCCTCCACCGATCTTAAATGGAGTTTTTCTAAGAGTGTCATAAACTTACACTAAACAATGAAAATGGTCCCCGAGTACTGCTGCGTGCTGATGATGCGCCTGATCGATGTGAGGCTACTAAATCATCAATATTATCATCGTTGTCATCATCTGCTTTCTGATATTTACCATAAAAACATTATTTTTATATCAATTTTAGCACAAAATTCTGTCATATAATATTTTCTTTCTACTCCATCAATCATACAGTTTTTAATACAATATTTTTATATCAACCATATCGGTTTTTAATACAGTATTTTTATATCAACCAAATCAGTTTTTAATACAGTATTTTTATATTATGCTTATCGTTTTTTAACATCCCCAAAGCACTACACATCTTGTTGTTGTTCTTGGGGGTGACGGTCTTCACAAAACATAACTTTAGTCCATATAACATATGTTTTTTTTTCTGCACATAATAAATTGTTTATTATATGTATATAGTACTTTATAATTTGACAGTATTTCCACTTCTAATTGCTGCAATTTGTTATAACCCCAATTACATATATTGTATATGTTACTTGATCATGTCTGCCTTTCTAAGTTCACTGTATTTGTTACAATCAAACATCTGGTTGTAGTGAATATTGAATACATATGTATGCAACAATAAATCCTATAAATGACCTATACAAATCAAAGAGTGGCACAAATTCTTTAACTAAAACTGCTGATTGCCATATGAGGGGAACTACAATATTGTGAAATATCTAAAAGGAATGGCAGTCATAAAATGATGCAATTCCGTCAACAATTGGTATCCTCTGGAGAAGATATAACCACTTGTTGGGTAGAATAATTAGATATTGTTCAAAACATGCAAATGATGAAATGAAATGAAATGGGGTTTAACGTCCTACTGTTCTACTCCTATACTGTTCTAATGAAATGAAATGAAATGGAGTTTAACGTCCTACTGTTCTGCTCCTAACCTGGGCTAATGAAGACGGGCATACGCCATACAGTGTGCTATGAGGGAAATTTTGCCCGGGCAGCGGCACTATCGCCTACTCTTATATCGAATTCCATCTGCCAAGGGATCTTATACGTGCACGCCAATGTGTACACGGGACCTCGGTTTTTCGTCCCATCCGAACGACTAGACAGCTTTCCTTGTCAGCCCCTCCGTCCTGCATCACTGACAAGGGAGAACCACGCCGGAAAATCTGGATGAACTTTCTCGGCCAATGCAGGGATCGAACACCCGACCTCTGTTCTAATGAAGACGGGCATACGCCATACAATGTGCTATGAGGGAAATTTTGCCTGGGCAGCGGCACTATCGCCTACTCTTATATGGAATTCCAACTGCCTGGGGATCTTTTACGTGCATTCCAATATATACACGGGACCTCGGTTTTTCATCTCATCTGAAGGACTAGACAGCTGTCCTTGTCAGGCCCTCCGTCCTGCATCACTGACAAGGGGAAACCACGCCGGAAAATCTGGATGAACTTTCTCGGCCAATGCACGGATCGAACACCCGACCTCCAGGCTAGCGAACCAGCGTCTTACCCACTTAGCCACATGATCCCCTACAAATGATGATCAGGGGCTTTAAAGAGCAGACAAAATATATTTCATCATACAATTAAATGCAAGAAATTTTCCTGAAATATTTTTATCAGTAGAAGGTGTGCGGGTCAGATGCCCTCCTATATCTTATATAACAATACCTATTACACGCATATGTGTTTGCAACAAACAAATTTTATTTCTACTATATTTGATTATCTTGTCAAAATCTCAGTTAAAAGGAAACTTCTTGAGAATTGAGAAGTTAAAAGGATTCTTCTTGGTATATACTTACATCATCAGCAGATGTCAGCACAAGTGATGGGATTGACAAACGACTTTGACGTGACGCTCGATGCTCTGGCGTATTATCAGAAGAAGTGCCCTCGTCTGAAACGCCTTCAGTTGTTACTGATAATTTTCCAGAATCTGAAAATAAAAACACATACATTTTTATTTTATTTCTCACAGAATTAACCCTTTAGCATCCTATACATATAAATATTGACTACCCCATTTCCCTGAAAAAAGGAGTGGAAAGTGACCTTTTAACATTTAAGTTTTGCAGCTCGTTTTCCAAACTGCCCCAAACCACTGCTCCCTACAATACCATAGGTGCAAAAGGGAGTTACAGTTTTGGGTAGTCCAGTTTTTAAAGGTTTAATATTACTTACCAGTATGCTGGACTGATAGTAATCTGTACTAAACTGCATAAAGGTTTTACTATTAATTTAATAGAGACCAAGCTATTATTAACAAAGGCTTAACTATATTACTTTACAGGGTAATACTCAATTTCTCCTTATACAAAATTCCACAAAGTGGGAACTTGGTAGTGTTTTGTTTCAAGAATAAATTGAGCCATCATGTTTGTATCTTGAATCTTCTTTTGATTTGTTACATGGAAATTGATTGGTCATTACACAGTTTTTTAACCAATAGTAATTTGACACAGAATATTTTTTTCAAACCAGAAAATAAAGCCCCTTGTTGACATTCCATAGAGAAAGGAATACAAATTTGCAAAATATGGGTCTTGAAGTAGATAAGTTTTTTAAATCCTGAAAGAAATCATCAAGAGTCATATACAACCTGAAATAAAAACTGGCCTGATAAAATTTGTAAATCAATAATTACCAGAAGTAGAACAATGAAATACATGCACATATAAAAAAAACAAATTGAAGGATGCATAACATGCTACAATCAAGGTTTAATATATAGAGAATAACACTTTAGACAAGCAAAATGTTTTATTTAAAATTATTTTATCAAATATTATTCAAATTGGACAATTCTCACATCAGTTATGGCCGAGTCAATGTTTCAGACAGATATAGTTACAAAATTTTTTATCCTTTTCTGACAAGCCAGCCCATTCTAAATTAAGATTTTTTATATGTGGATGTTCCTTTTACATAATAACAGTTTTTACATTTAATTGGAGATATTTTTTTACTTTCGTTGAGAAATATTTTAGATGTTTCCTTTTTCACTTTTTGGATATCTAAAGTAAAATCCCAAAGATTTTCTAAGCGCAAAATTTGTTTTCATACACAAAGCAAACTTTCAGGGTAATTTAAGAGCAATTTTCTATGTTATGATTGACACTGATGTTATAATTTTCAAAGAAAAAGAGGACTGCCTTAAATTACAGAGATATAAATGTAAAATTGTAATGACCCACATTTCAACCCATTCCAAGAATAACCGTTCACTTGTATCACAACTTACAGAAGAATAAATTACTGGTAATACCTGTAGTATGTGATATCGGTAGATCAGATACAGAGGAAGTGGTTGTAACAGAAATAGTTGGTAGTGTAGATACTGTTATAGAAGGGATAGAAGTTGTTTCGTTATGGGTTACAAACTGTAGATTGTCAGTCGTTTCTCTCTCAGGTTTTTCAGAGTAATCCTTTTCTGAGTTGTTGTAGTAAGGGGAAGGAGGGGTAACTAGGGACAATATGGGATCATATGATAAACCTTCTTCTTCTCGTTTGTTAGTTGCAGAATTAACAGTTTTATTTATTTTATTGCCATCACCATTGTTAGTACAAGTATTAACATAGCCATTGTTAGTAGGTGTAGCAGAAGAGGGTGCAGCAGAAAAGGGCGTGTCCGAAGTAGGTGTGGCATGTACATCTACATAACAAAAACCACTGTTCAAATTTGTGGCATCCACGACCTTGTCTTCAAGTGGTTCTGTATTTGTGGCTATTTCATTTGTGGTAAATATTCTAATACTAGGAACAGTTTGACAGTTTTTACACCCGATCTTTCTATCATTTAACTCCAGACTCTTCAATTGTTCTTGATTGATACTAGTTTTATACTCGTTGCGATCTGACTTTGTTTCAATTACAGAATCACATGAGGTCGTCTTTTCAGATAGCTTAATATCAACGTTCTCAGTAACTACTTCCATTTCTTCTTGTTGACCCACAATATCTTCTGAGGTGAATAAATCACAATCGTCATCTAAAATGCATCCAGAATCTCGTTTTCTTGTATTTAGTCTCCCAGTGATGTCCACATTTCCATGCGAATCGGATAATTCATCTATGTTAGAGTTCTTTGAGGCTGAAAGATTTGATTTGATTCCTGTAGAATTGTTCATAAATTCCCCCGGTTTAACTGTATTAGAATAGGCTTGGGTATTTTCATGGCCGTTATAAGCAGTCATTAAGACATGGTGCGTGTCTAAATACCCATCTACTTTGACTGTATCAATAAAACTTCTAGGGGGTTTAATCGGTGCCTCAATGTCGTCTTGATCTTTAATGGCTATAATTCTTTGAGAATTACCCTCATTGTCTGGGACGTTACTAATGACAAACTTATCTTCTGGATTTGATGGCTTCCCTTCTGCATAAATTGCATTTGAATTTTCTGACAAAAGATGGCTACAAGAATTTCCATTTTTCACTTCAGACACAGTGTGAAAATGGTAATCGTGTGTAATTGGAACATGACCCATGTCTGGTGTTGAAATAGTTTGTTTATCAGAAACATACTGTAAAGTAGAGCCTGCTGTCAAATCTTCTTGACATACAGAGCTCTTGATTTGTTTTCCAGCATCAGAATCAGAACCAATTTCTTTTTTGTTCACTGCAACCAATTTTCTGGCTTTGGGAATAGGAACTTCTAATTTAAAAAAATCTGCATCAGCATCCACAGTCGAGACTGAGTTTAGCTTTTCATTATCAAGATGAACATTAGAAGTGGTAGTATTTTGGGAGTGTTTAGTCTTTACAATAGCACCTACCATAGTGGTTTTTGTCATTTCACTATTAATAATCTTCTCACTCTCTGTTTCAAGGCTATTTAAGTCTGAATTAGGGTTGTTTTTTGAGGTTGATTGGAATGTTTTCTGGGCTGTCAAATTGATATCTGAAGTTACAACCTTGTCTCCTTCATAACTACGGTCCCCAAAAGAACTTTCAGGTGAAACAACAGACACAACATTACTTTTTACTGCTTTCTTCTTTGAGGACGTTTTCCTGGTTCCATCTTTACCAACTTCCCCATGAAATTTTCTTTGTGGACCTCTCTCTCTGATCAATTTGGCTTTTTTGACCAACCTTGGGCTTTTGATCATTACAGATCCAAAGTTATTGTCACTGAGAATATCCAACGAAGTGTTGGCTAAGTCATCAATATCTTCATTTTCTTCAAGGTCAGCGTTTGTTGTCAAATCATTGAGTGTTAAATCGTCAGTTGGTTCAGTAGTTTCAGTAATCACACTCAAATTATCTGATGTGTCATTAACATCTGATCTGTAAAACTGACTTTTGAAGAAATTACATTGGTCCTGTTTGGTGTATGGTGGAGGTTGGATTTCAGAAGTGTTAATAACCACTTTAACTGATGGCACAGTTTGGGATCGAATTGCTTTCTGAGAAGATTGGACAGTGTTTTTCCATTTATGATCTCCCATCTTATCTGACTGGCTAAAATTTTGACTTGCGTGTTCTCGATTCATTTCTGTTAAAATATAATCTGCCTTCTCGTAGATAAATGTCTTCCCTCCATCTACTGAATCAGACTGATTTTCCAAATCTTTGTAAGCTGAATCATTATCGTCGTCTAAATCAATGTACTCCTCCATGTCTAAAACATACTTGGAACATTTCTGGTTTGGTTCCTCTTCAGGTACAAATATACTGTCAGGAATATCTTCACTGGTTATCTGGTGCTCAACACAGTATTCCTTGGAGTCTTCATCTTCAAATTGCTTCTCTGAATTTAATTTCAAAGCTCTAATTCTACTCTGAATGTCAGAAACAAATGTGCAGTTGGCGGCACCTTCATCAAAACCTGGTCCCTGGGAACTTGAATGCATATTCTCTGTTTTATTTGCTCTTAATTTTTGTTCTTTCTTATGTTTTAGATCAACAGAAGTGCTTGTTTCTTCTGGCTTGGTTGTTATTAACTTTGGGTGATCAACATTATCATCTGGTAAAGTGTCAGGACTTTTATGTTCTTTAGAAGTAGTATCAAGTAAGTTTTGGTAAAAAACATTTGTTAACTGTGGTCGTGTGACCTCTGAAATCTGTGAATCAGATTTGCGATTGTAGCTTTCTAGGTTAGATTCAGGAGTATAAAAAGAGGCAGTGTTACTAGAAAGAGAATTAGCGAAAGAAGTGTTAGTAAAGGTGTCATCAACAGAATCTGTATCTGGATACTCAGCTAGAGCATTGCTAAGTTGTTGCAGAGCTGAAGAAGTGAGATGTGCATTGTCACTGGACAGAGTGTGCAAAGAATCAAAAGACTCCCTATTAGCAGAAGCTTGAGAGATGGAATTAAAGACTGAAGAATCATCATTATGTTCGTTAGCCTGACAGACACCCGCATTGCCATCAAAAACCCCAGATGAAGCATCATGCAAAGGTTTAATATTAACAGAAAGATCAGAAACAGAAATAGTTGAATCAGAAGAATCAGATGTATTGCATTCCCAGTCATCTTGACCAAAATAAAGTGAATAATTTTGAACATCCCCTCCAAACCCCTTTACATCTATTTCCCTATCTATCTCACTCCTTCCACTCTTATCATCTGAACCTGTTAAAACAAAACAATTTAAATCAACACCAAGCCTGGAAATAAGGCACCTGTCACTGACAATGTCAGGCACAGATTCAGGCTTTGTCAGGCACTAAACTTCTGGTGCCTGTCATTTTGTCCGGCACTGATTTGTCTTTTGTATTAATATTATACTATTCAAAAAAAGTAGGGGATATTTGATTTTAAAGTGTTATTAAAGTCACCTAATGAAACTGACGAAGAAACAAATGACAAAATGAAATGAAGTTCACATTCATCGATTTATTCCAAATGATCGTTAGACTAAGTAAGGCACAGACTGACCATTATAAGGGTAAAATGATACCCGGGGTCAAACAGCAAAGTTACCACAGCATCACAACCAAGTCAGTAACGGGTAAATCCTCCTCTGTTTGCCAAACAAGCATTGATCCGACGTGGCATACTCCTAATGAGACGTCTAAGGTCATTTTGGTCCAGATTGTCCCATTCCTGTTGCAACGCAGCAGCAAGTTCTTGGACATTGGCAGGACGTTGTTGACGTTGACGTAACCTCTGTCCAAGCATGTCCCAGACATGCTCGATGGGGGAGAGGTCGGGATTCAGTGCTGGCCAAGGTAATGTGGTGATGTTCTGTTGTTGGAGGTAACCTGTAACGATCCTGGCCCTGTGACATCTTGCGTTGTCATCCTGGAAGATGAAACGTCGGCCATGACGTCGTGCGAACGGCACAACATGGACTGCCAAGATGTTGTCCCGGTAGTACTGGCCTGTAACACGCCCTGCAACAACATGTAAAGCCGTTCTTCCAGCAACAGTGATGCCTCCCCACACCATAACAGAACCACCCCCAAATCGATCATGTCTGATGACGTTAACGTATTGGAAGCGCTCGTTTCGACGACGCCACACCCTCCTACGTCTGTCCAAAAAATCAACAGTGAACCTTGACTCATCTGAAAACATCACATTGCTCCAGCGTCGATTATCCCAGTGTTGACGATCCCTACAAGGGATGATCTCTCAAACAAGGGATCACGCGAGGACGTCGGCCGCGAAGGTGACCCCTATGCAGTCGATTCCGAATCGTCTGGCCATGCACTCACTCTCACACCAGTGTCTGTTTGAAGACGAGCGCTGATCTGATTTGCTGTGATGACACGATTTCTCAAGGCCAAGGTACGGATAAATCGATCCTGGGCTTGAGTTGTCGCCCTTGGTCGACCTGAGCGTGGTCTGTCCTGTACAGATTGTGTATCACGGTATCTGGACCATAGCCTGCTTATGACAGACTGAGAAACATTCATCGTCCGCGCCACAACCGCCTGTGTTGTGCCGATCTGTAGCATGCCAAGGGCACGTAACCTTTCATTCTGGGTAAGCCGACGCATATCAAAATTTGTTTTCTGGTCACTAAAACAATTAAACTGATGTTTCCACCCTGGAATTCAATGCCACAATGACTGTAACATTCAAAGTCAGAGTCGTGCAAATCTTGGGTTGGACCCCCATGATGATCCCAAGCATCACCTGCATTCCATGCGGTAGCTATTGGTGCGTTTGGGCGTCACATGTAACTGGAAATGTTTCTTCTGTTAGGTTCTATAGTGACTTTTTTCGTAGTCATTTGCATATTTTAGTATTATGCCCCCAAAATCAAATATCCCCTACTTTTTTTGAATAGTATATTAATACATGTCCGGCACTAAGTTGAAAATGTCAGGTACTTCTTCAGGTACATGTAAAACCGTTATTTCCACGCCTGATCAACACACAGCTAACATTAGAGTGAATAAGGTAATGTTGCAACTATACACGATCTTTAATATGACACTGATATTTTAAGCCATGGCCATCATCAAAGGTATAAACCAGAGGAAATAGCACTTTCTCATATTTTTCACCTCTGGATCACCACATCAAAAATCCTGGATGACAGGGTAAATTATTGGATTTTACCAGACAAGCACTTGATTTTAATTGATCAATTTCAAAATGCAAGAAACCGACAAGATTTGTTTTTCTTTAAATTTGTTTACATTGAAAGTTTGTTATGGTACATGCAGTGCAACATTATCCAATTTTTTGTTATTTGCTGTTTGTTTGTGTTACTTTTTATACCATGGAATCCACATAAACGAATAATCAATAAGAGAATTACCACACTATTTTAAGTGGATTGGTCTGCAGCATCAAAGATGCAAAGCATGAAATACGGAAAAAGGAAAAAAAATACAGGCTTTCATCTAAATTAGAGGCAATAATTTCCGGTTAACAGAATTTATTCAAGTATTTATGAGATAACACAATAAATGAAAGAGGTTTTTTGTTCAAATCCGGAATGAATTTTTATAGTACCCAATTCTGTAAAGTTTGAAAGCACATATTATCCTAAGAAGAACTTTAATTGTCTGACTTTTAGGCTACAGGTACAATATACTTCATTAAACAAAAATTAGCACAGAATTTCTGTTAAAAAATTTGACTATTTTTATGAATTAAATAAGTATTCTTTGAGAAAAACTACAGATTTCATTGTCTTTATAGTGTTTTACTTAACATTTTTTGAGCATCTATTTACTGGTAAATATCATACAAATATGCGGGTCACCTTTAAATGAGTAGTCTTTGAGAAAAAATACAAACTTAATCGTTCTATGGAACAATTTATGAGAGTACATATTTAAATGACACATCAATAAGCACATCACCTTCAACTGATTTTTTATACCAACCATGTTTTAAGTACATGCAATGTTAACATGTACATGTACCTACATTTAGTTTACATGAAGTTCAACATGACACTAATGATACATGATTATTACGCCAGGATCTAAAGCATCTTTCATTATATACAGTGTCAAGGGAGATTATCTCTTTAATAAATAATATATAATTATGTATGTGCCGTTGGTCCTAAGATTCATTATAAAAATCCATTAAATCATACTTTTTATTGCATGCTTGAATAGTTTGTTATTCAATATTTTTGTGTTTCAATTTGGAAATTAAGCTAAATTATTTGTTAAGTATTTCAATTTCGAAATTAAGCTAAATTAGTTGTTAAGTATTTCATATGTAGTATGTGTAGCCAAAGGAAGGTGTGCAATGATCAAAAATAATGCAACTTGAAAATGGGATATCACACTTAAAAATCCTCAGGATATCACCAGGATCTCCTGGAAAGTGAATCCCCATGGCTTCCATTCTCATACACCTTTAAACCATAAATAATAAGAGATATGACACATAGTTTTCTTATGTTTTAAGTAACATAAATAAGCCATAATTCTGAATTACCAGATAATCACTATGACCTTATGAATGGTGGTAGATTGACATCTTGCTCATTACATGACCGGTAATGGAAATGACTTTTATTGTCTATTGAAGTAGTCTTAATTGTCTCAACATTCATCTCTTATTATCATTTAATTGGAGATTTATCCCATATTGATTCTACATAATGTCTTATTGTCATGATCGATAGAAGATCAACCCAGCTATTGACATTTTATTATTTGAATTTATGTTATCGAAATGTGCTGATAAGATGTCTATATTACTACAATAACTTAACCTTGCGCTTGATTGCTCAGTATATATGTCTTTAAAGTTCTAGATAGTTTTAATATAAGGTTTTAACTGTGTTGCCAGCAAACATCAGTAGCAGGTGCACATGTAAAGGAAATGTAGTTAATAATCAGTTATACTTTAACTTTAAGGTTTATCACATTTTTAAAATTTGTTATTCACGCATGTTTGTTTAGCAAAGAGCAAATTCACAATTCAGAACAAAAAAAAAAAGTAATATTTACTTTTCGTTGTTAAGATGTGCATAAATACTTTAGATATTTAAACATCAAATACTTTTCTGTAGAATTTTAAATAATCTAATTACATATTAAGAATTTATGAGTTAGGGTCAATGACTTCCACAGAACGATTTTAAGGGATTTACATAATTTTGGGACTGAGAGTCATGTATACAAATCTTTAATTTAAATGATGTTTGTTTTCAATAGAACTAATATAATAGATAACAACTATTGGTAATTCCACGAGGTTTTGGATATACATGTACATTAAATGCAAACTAAATCTCTTATGCTGTGCCAGTGGCTGGCAGCCTAAAGACCCCCTATATCCCCTTCACCCTATTTTATTTTTTAAATATTCCTGTTACTGAAAATCAAAAGTTAATGCTTTGATTGGTTGGTATTATTTTAGGTGAAATCAGTTAAGGCGGTATACTGCAAGAGGCTGAGCTTCGCAATTACATGTCATAGTCTCAGATTTAAAGAGAGTCAAAAGATTTATTGCATGTCACCTAAAAACCCTTTCCTCTACTGTGCTTCTCAGTTATAAGCTGAATTAAAATGTAAATAAAATCAAATGCTAAGAAGTGAGAAATAACCCTACTAATAACCTGGCAATTGAGAGATACAAAATGAAGGATTTAAAAGTGCAAGAACTTGTGTTAAAAAAAGAAATAAAAGTTGCAAAATATTTGAAAGCACTCAACTTGGAGTTAGTAAGTAATGGACAGAGCATATTCAATAATAACTATTAGGCTATAAATTACAACATTTTCTATAATCAGTAATTAAGAATGACGTAAGAACACTAGGGACCGGGTATCATTCAGATTTGATGAAAAAAGGAAAGAAACTGAGCTTACCATCTATAATCTAATACAAATATTCAGTTAATAGATTGCCGTGCAGAAAGTATTAAATACCATCAAGATTCATCAAATAATGCCCAGTTTGTGCTACCGTTTAGTTTAAGAAACATCATTTAGTTTTCACATCGGTCATCTAGTTTATGACCATTTAGTTTAGTTTTGATATTGGTCATCCAGTTTATGACCATTTAGTTTAATAAACTAGACAACTAATGTCAAACTAAACGGTAGCACAAACTGGGCAGTTTTTGATGAATCTTGATGGTATTGAACACTTTCTGCATGGCAATCTATTAACTGAATATGTGTATTAGATTATAGATGGTAAGTTCAGTTTCTTTCCTTTTTTCATCAAATCTGAATGATACCCTGTCCCTAGTGAAGTTATAAGTTATAAGAGTCATAGAGTTAAAGAGGTTACTAAAGAGTCATAGAGTTAAAGAGGTTACTAACTACTCACTTGGATGTTTATTTCTTCGTTTTTTGTAATGTCCGCTATGAATTTCATCAGTGTCACTTCCTTCTTGTCCGCTGCGGGAGTTCCTGTCATCAACGTCAGATGTATCTCGCTCTAAAGCACGACTACTGGCTAAATCCAGAAGTCTCATTTTTGTTGCAGGGGAAGCTGTCCTTGCCGATGATACACTAGATGTATCTGATTGGCCAGAACTTTTCCGACTGTGGATGTTCATATGCTCTGGCGATAAAACAACATTTCTTCTCGGAGAGGCACTGGCTGGACGTGAAACTGGGGTTTGATTGTCTTGTTTATTGTGTTGTCTTGAATTTTGAGCGCTTTCTGTAGAAGAAAATTTGTCTTTCTCAGACGAAGTTGAATAAGTATCTCCAGTTTGTTTCTTATTTTTACCTTTCGATAAATTACCATTTGAAAGCTTAGGCACAGTGGTGTCTTTCAAATCTTTTGATTTCAATACTGGAGAATTAAGGGCGCTTTCGGTTTCTGATGAGGGTTTTGAAGAAGCTAGTCCAGGTTCTGACGATGTAATGGAATCACAAACAGAACGCCCTTTCGGCAAATTAGCTTTCTTTCCATCAACACCTTCGGAAGATGAGCTAGATGAACCTGAGTCATGTCGTCTACGACAGGAAACATGTGTCACACTTTTATTTTTATCGGTATCTGCCGTATTTGTTCGGAAGGACTCAAAAAGCTGATCCAGTTTTTTGTTGTCTGAGTCTTTCGGATACCCTGCCCGATCAGGATCATTGCGACCACCAGATGCTCGCCCTGACACAGGCGATCCATCGCTGTCCCCTAGCAAACTGCCTGAAAAAATAAATATATGGAAATTGTTATAAAAATATAACCATCAAATGACCCCTTTCCCCCTTTTATCTTTTGTTTTCATTTACATGAAGGTGACATTTGAGCCATGCCACATAAACAGTTCAAATCGAAAGGAGACCCAGTATAAAATAATGACAAAATCGGATTGCATATTTTGAAATATCGACTTAACAGTTTGTACAACTTAAAAGATTTAATACAGGAATGTTACAATTTTTCAATTTGCTTGGGGACCTGAATTTGTTCTCTTCCTGAGTTAAATGAACCATTATGCCTATACAATAGCTTTAGTAGTCAAATCACACACAACTCTCTAACTAATATATATCACCGCTATTTTTCTGTGGGTTACAATACCAATGATTGATTTCCTCTGAAATAAATACAGTGTTATTCATTGTAATTGTGTTACATTGTGTGAAATGAAAAGGCCATGACACAATCTTCCTGCATGACACAAGGAATACATGTATCTATATAAACGTGTAAAAAACGTTTTGTTATTATTCAGAATGAAGAGTGTGAAGTAAGCAGGATCTGATTAATCAAGTTTGTAAAAGTGTTGAGTATGTATATCTGTTTCAATATGTGGCATGCATTTGTTGCAGGGATGTAAATTAGTGTACTGTGTGATTTTTTTTTATATCTGGGGATGCCTAGATTGTTTTGTCCTGTGATGTCTTGAGTTTAAATATACATCCTACTGACATGGTCACGTGAAATTCCCATTAGCTCACTCAGCAGAGGTGTAAGACTTCCATGCTTTGGGATGGAAGCATCCTGTCACACAAACTTTAGATTAATCATCATTTTTCTTCAATTCAGCGGAGTAAGCTTTCTAGTTTTGCTTTCACCTGATAATTATTGAAATTAACCCAATATGTATCTCAACATCGGCTAAATATTATTCTTGTTGTACATTTAAGTTATCTCTCTAAACGAATTAACTCATTAAATGTAATCCAATCAACTTTTTTATTTTTCACTCAAATTTCACAAGATCTAAACAACAATTGTATTAGTTCTCAATAGACCGATAGACAGGCAAGTCAATGCTCTCCCTTATCTTTCATTAAAATTTCCTTTAAGAACAATCAAAGAGCTTAAATGCAAAATGCTAAAAATGAGCAAATGCTCTGTAAGACAACTTTGGTCAATATAATAATTCAGTGATGTTGGTTATTTTTCTTATTCAAATTTAACAAAATTAAGGGGAAAGAAGGGAATGGGATTTAACGTACACTCAACACAAACTAGGTCATTTCGGGACTAACATATGATTCAATTTTATTTCAATAATTCGCTTGCAATAGCGGTTTTTAGCAGTGGGAGGAAAACGGAGGCCCCGGAGAAAATCCCACGAGATTGGACAGGCGACCCTACTCCTTGTCACGTACAACTGGGGAATCAAAACCATGCCAGTTGACTCAATGACAGACGTTATGATGCTAACCATTCGGCCATCCAACCCCCCACAAAATTAAGGACTGAAAGGTGTTCTTAGATATTCTTCAGTGACTGACTGATGTTCTAAGAGAGTAAACGATGATATCATGAAATCAACTGAAAGTAAGCAAACTTTAGATTGCCCAAACCTACAGGCTGATCAATTTTAATCATTTTAGGACCAATATTATTTAAAAATAAAACTATTTTAATTGTGTATGTTCTATGTATATAATTGCCTTTTAATATGGAATATTGTACGTTTTAATTACTAAGTGGGCTACTTCGTGTTATATGTGGTCAGAATATATAAGACTATTTGATAGAGACTATATGAATTCTCCAGAAAAACAACCATGACTACAGTCTAGGCTGACATCTGTCAGCCAATAGCTACATTATCCAAGGCGTGGAAGAAAGTCTGATATTGACTTGAGCATGTGAGATGTAATGATTCTGTCAACACCTGTTGAAACAGTATAATACTATCATTGATTTTCATTTAAAATTCTATAAATCTTGTTATTATATCTACTGCATGTTTACATAATCTCTTTAAACTTATTCAATCAATCCACACACTCTTGTCATTTTATACAATACCATGTATTCAACATAATATCCGCCCTTCTCCACTGGGTGTCGTCCATGGAACAGTACAATCAGCTACTGTAATTACTAAATGATCAATATCAGATTTTGACAAATTAATTGTGTCTTCTTGCTTGTTATTTTGAAGCTCATTTCATCAAAAGGAATTTGTTGGTGGTTGTTCATCTCCAAATATAAGTTTGAAAACTTAAAAAAATCAATCATTCAGATTTGACATCAAAACTGTGGTATTTTGCTAACATCTCAAATAAATTGTACCTGTTATCAGGTGTTCTAGACAGGTACACAAAAAGTTTACCCTGTCTCTAGCACATCAGTGCAGTGTGTATAAATTCAGGAACGGTTGGCCACAGAGGCAGTGCTATGATTTTCGACCCCACCAAATTTGGAGAATGGTCCAAAATAAATAGTCAACGAAAATAATGGCATTATTCAGAAAGGGAGAAAATTAGCTAAGGGAGCTTTGATATGGGCAAGATTCTTACATTTATTGAATTGAAAGTGTTTATATATAAACAGGATAGGTTGCAATTATCAACACTTCCCATGCACCATACTGCTGTTTTATTTCTTTCTGGATACATGTATACTGAATATGCTCTGCTGTCAATATTGTCATAAAAGGGGCAACAAATTGGGTTGAGATGTACATTTATAGAAAAACATTTCACCACCTTTAATAGGTTTACTGCTTTCCAACCTTCCTGCTTCACACTTTCTGTTCTATAAATGGACGTTCATTAAAGACCATCTTTAGATCCATTTACTTTCTTCATGAATATTTTAATACTTTGAAACGGGGAAAGCGATTCACTAATCATTAAAATCCCAAGCCGATTGCCATCATTGTGGCTACGCCTGCTATAAATAATAGACTTTACATAGAAATTGGCATTTCATTCACGAATAGTGTTTGACTGGAATTCCAATTCTAGTACTTAACGATATTAGGAGATTACAGTTTTCACCAAAAGTACAGCACACAACAGAAGTCTATGCAACATTTGCATAGAGATAAATAGAAAACTGACGAAAATAGTTCTTAATAAATAACTATCTATTTATTAGCAATGCGGCTAGGATTAACAAATTTATTTATTTAAAATTTGCCTTAAAATAACATTTATTTACATGACAAGCCTATAATCAACTCTCTCTCCATTTAATAATTTAATTTGAAAATGGATAATCAAAATTTTGTTTATTACCGTAACAAAGGTAGCAATGAAAATTGAGATTATTCACTTAGAATAAAGTAATTTGACTTAAATTTTTAATATATTCCTTTTCCATAATCTATTTTAAAGTATTATATTGTGAATTTGTCAGCTCTTTATCTAAATCTTACATAATGCATGTTTAAGAAGAGCAAACAGGCACTTTGCATTTTTAAATTATTTTCCCACCAAGAAATAAGAAAGCAGTACTGTCTGTCTGAATTGGTTGTCCAGAATAACAAAAGTTGTCCTAACCTATCAGAAGTCAAGATGACATAATCCCTGCTTTATCTATTAATCACCTCTATTCCATTGATCGGTATATAGATGTTATTAGGTTAAGTATCATCTTATTGATTATATATACCGGAAACGTACAATATCAAAGCTTTATGAATGTATACAGTGGCGGCACCGGAGGGGTGGGGGGGGGGGTAATTGCCCCCCCATTAATCTGGTCTGCCCTCTGTTTGCCCCCCCAATAATTTTAGAAAATAGAAAATAAAAAAAGTATTTGTGATACGTTTCGGTAATCAGTACCTTCTACGGTGAATTAATCCCACATCCCCACTCAGTCATAAACTTGCATGTTGTAGAGCATTTCCGACAGTCTATTTTTCAAAATTTTCTTGGCGAGGTCCCCAATGGACTCGCTACTTTGGGGCTCACAAGGGGAATTTGTTGAGGTTCGCAAGTCCGTTTGTTTGACATTTTGTTCTCTAGTCGGATAAACTAGTGATCAGACGACGAACGGTATCTGGTCAGATCTATTTATCTCGACGATCGGTGCCTGGGAATACTGTAAGACAGCATTTCCGGCAGTCTATTTTTCAAAATTTCTGGGGGAGGACTCCCTACTTTGACGCTCGTGAGTGGGCTTCGTTGTGATTCGCAAGTTCGTTCGTTTGACACTTTACCTCATCGATCAGTGCCTGAAATACTGCCAGGCTGCATTTCCGGCAACCTGTTTTTCAAAATTTTCTGGGGGAGGCCCCATACCCCTAGTTGCCCCCTTAACCTTGGACTTTGCCCCAGCTTTGCGCCGCCACTGAATGTATACATGGCATTGTCTTAAATTATCCAAGTATTCAACACAAAAAATTATCCACGCATTCAGATATGACTGATAAATAAACCCTTGATCTAATTTTGTTCCTACCAAGATCATATAATTCTTTGCCATCTTGATTATCGCAACACAATGAGTGGATGTATACATTGCATTGTTTATATACTATTAAATATTCTAGTCAGAAAATTATATACAATACATAACAATGTATTCAGACACAATTAATAATGTTTGACATATTAATCAATGATATACAAACATTTTACATACAAAACCAACAGAAGTTTGTACTGTCATTGGTTTATTGAAGAGACATGATTAGTGCTAGTTGTTAAAAACAAAATAATTCTACTTAAAGTTTTTTGACTACACAGTCTAATTGGACCAGTTTAGAATAGATTGTATTCAAAATCTGAAAGAAATCTGCTAAACATTTCAGTCACTGGATTGATAGACATATTATAGCACAACATTTCGACAATAAGAGAACACTTGTCAAAATGTTGTGCTACATTAAGAAAGATAAGAGAACACTTGTCAAAATGTTGTGCTACATTAAGAAAGGTAAGAGAACACTTGTTAAAATGTTGTGCTACAATTGTCACAAACCTGTTATTCAGATAAGAGATGACCTAAATGGATGGTTAGGCCCTGCAAGGCACTCTGCACTCCTTAGTGCACCCACCACTATTCATTATCTATATAATTAATAGCTGTCATACATGTTATTTTCTACATTATACTGGTTGTGAAGAATATCTAATTATTAATTTCTACTCTGCTAATTAGTATAATACTCTTTAAAATGTACATTAATTAATTTCTTTATGTAAATGATGTTACCTTTCTGGTTTGTACTTCCATATGTCACATCCTGGGTATCATCCTCATGACTTATTTGTCCTGTTCACAAACAAAACTCAAGATAGAAATCAAACAAATAAATTTCCTACCCTGCCCCACAATTGTCTAAAGACAGCTACAGCTAGGTTAAATCTGGTTAAGTCTTGAAATCAAAGAAATGGGAATGATGCTCAACAATTATTAATCTTCTTATATTGCAATCATTTCCTATCTCCTATGATAACCACTTCTAGGTCACTTCCAAATTTTAAACAAAATGAGCTGCATTTAAACTTTAGTTGCCAGAATTCAAATAATTGTTTAAATCGGGTTTAATGTCCACTTGACACAAACTAGGTCATTTTGGTACAAACATAATATATGGTTCAATTTTACTTGAATAACTCGCTTGCACATAGGGGTCTACAGCAGTGGGAGGAAGCCGGAGGACCCAGAGAAAGCTACAAGGTTGGACAGGCAACCCTACTCCTGTGGGGAATCGAAACCACACCACACGACTCAATGACAGACCTTACAATCCAACAAATGAACCTTTCGGCCAGCCAATCCCCCTGTTATGAGGGCTGAACCACAAAGTCCTTTGGATTCAAAGTTTATATATTAAATACCCAACTCATCTAGTTTAATGATTATCAGAAAATTATGGTAACTGAATACCAACTATAAATATGCGTGCTAATAAAACATTATATCAAAAAATTCAATCAAATTACCTGCACAGCACAATCTTGTAAACATGATGATTTTATTCTATCAATCCAATCTCAATTATTTATCATTATATATTATCATATGATATAATCAAAACAGGAACCTCATGATATATAATTTAATTTCCTTAGTGAAAAATCTGAGGAAGTTATAAAATCCACTTAAGTCCATATCTCAGTCAATCTTACATAATAAAATTATTCATAGAGATTGCACTTTTCTTAAGAAGATACAATTTATAAGAAAATCATAAACTGTAATTCCTTGTACAATATTTCATCCAAAATTTCACCAGTGAGAAAGAACCTCCTTATCTACAAAGTGAAAACATAGAAACGGTGACATGTACAACTTTTATCACATGACGAGAAATTACTTCTGATAACTGTCAATTTGTATGCAATTCTATTAAAACAAATCAAATTTTCCCAGGTAGTTTCAGAAATCATAAAAGCTGCGTGACATGTAAAGTGATTATTTATAAGGTTTCGATAGTACAGGATTTAAAACTAACAAAACTAAGATCAGGTTAAAGTCACAGAATATTACTAAAGTGTTAATTAAGAATCCTCAGCACCTCTAACCTACAGACAAACAGTGGTAATCACATTACACAATATAAACATAACATACAATTTGTAAATCAACAAATTTATTATTTTTCCTCTAACGCCATATCAAGTAACTCTATAATAAATATTTGAGACCATGTGTAAACAAGCCAACGGCATTCAAAAGGGTTGGGTAAAATATTTTGATGGGCTTCTCTTCAATCCAACTGAATGCAATCTAAGCTACATTTTGTCCAAACCTCACTCATACATTTGCATAGATATACCTATATATCTAATTTTTATATAATGCATTTTTAACTATTAAAGATTTATCAATCAGAGTAAAAAAATTCAACTATGTGTAGAACAACCCTGTGCTTCCAACAATCTTCACCAAGTCACAAACGGTCATGAATGATTGGTTTTGATACCAAGTCAAGTTGCAGTCATGAACGGTTGATTCTGCCGCCAAGTCAAGTTGTGGTCATGAACGGTTGATTCCGATGACAACTAAGTTGCAGTCATAAATGGTTGATACCGATGACAAATTAAGTTGCAGTCATGAACGGTTGATTCTGATGCCAAGTCAAGTTACAGTCATAAATCGTCGATTCCGATGACATCAAGTTGCAGTCATGAATGGTTGATTCTGATGACAAGTCCAAACATTTGATTTGGAAAATAAGTCAAGCTGCGGTCATGTCTGATGACAAATAAACAGTCCACATGAAGAGAAGAAGAAGAAAATGTATGGAGTGATTTGACCCTGTATGGTGGTAGTACCATGAGGTAAAAACATTGACACAACATCCCAATATCTTCTACTTTGTGAAACAGAAATGAATGACATTGACACAATATCTCAATATCTTCTACTATGTGAAACAGAAATGAATGTATCTTAACTATACATCAGTATATCAAGCACTAATGATAATATAAATCTGCAGTTCCTATTATTACACTAATACAAAAGTAAATCAATACTATAATCTAAAATTTGTTGTTTCAAATTAATGATTAATTCCACTGATCCCAAGAGATCATATCCATGAAGCTGAATATTTGTTTCGATCTAGGAGTATATGTGAAGGGACTGCTAGAAGCTAATAATTATAAGGATTTGAATGCCCCTTTTCCTGCAGAAGACCCTTTCAATCCTCTTTTTTTTGATCACCAAATGGTATATCGTCACTGCTAAGTTGACTGATTGTATCTGGGTTTTGCCAAATTGTTCAGAAGCGGCAAAAAACACATGGCTTGTCAGTACTGTATGACGATATATACATATAATATAATGTACACTTCTAAAATACGTAATTTTATGACGATCAACAATTTATCCAAACAGTTTAAAAATATATATCATTTAGTGAGCCTAAAAGGGGGAAGAAATAAGAGAGAGAGATGGGGTATAACATCCACACAATACAAACTATGTTATTTCATGACTAAATTACAATTACATTTCAATAATTCGCTTGCGCATTGGAGTGTTTGCAGTGGGAGAAAAACTAGCAGAGGACCCGGAGAAGATCCATGAGATTGGACAGGAGACCAACTGTCTTCCAACGTAATATCTGGAGATTCATAATGGAGCTTCTACTCCCTTCACCCTTCAATCCTCGTTCACGTTAATGAATAAAAAAACTAGATAAATCAGCAATACAAAAGTAACAATTGAAAGGTACAAAAAAATTGCTAATTTGAGTTGCAGTTCTTGATTTCTCGTCCTTTTTCTATTATAACCTACATCAATCTTATCATGATATCGGTCCAATGTATTTAATGTCTCCCTCGTGAGATAACAAAACCAATAACTTTCATCCAATTACAAAAAACATTTGGCACTTTCACAAGAATAATTTCTTTAATACAATCATAAAATGCAAAACAAGGAAATTGAAATGATATGGGGATTAACATCCTACTTTATTGCACCAACTGGGCTAATAAATACAGGCATATATGTAGGCCTTGCTGTGTGCTTGCACGGACAACAGCGTTTCTGCTTACTCTTCATCGATTTCAACTGTTAAGTGTTCTCTTCAGAGCACACTTACCCGTTTTTTCATCCTATTTAAATGACTTTGCCGGCCTTCGTTTCTGGACCTATTGACGAGGAGAAATCCCACTGGAAAATCCTAAGGAGTTTCCTTAGCCAACACTAGGATGAACATCATTGTAACTACATTGTAGAATTTATTTATTTAAATGAGACCATGTTACTACTTATTCCATCAAATAAATCCTTTTATATTTCCACTGAAAAATCCTGAGGAGTTTCCTTAGCCAACACTAGGATGAACATCATTGTAACTACATTGTAGAATTGATTTATTTAAATGAGACCATGTTACTACTTATTCCATCAAATAAATCCTTTTATTTTTCCACTGAAAACTCTAAAAGATTAAAGAGAAAACATATTCGTTTTTTACTTTATGCAATTGATACATGTCAACTTTGACATTAAAAGAATATTCAATTATAACATTTTTTGAAGCAATTACAAAATTTCTTGCCAATAAAATGGCTTCTGGATAACATAAAATAATAGTTTCTGCAATCATCAACTAAAAATCAATAAACTGAAAAAGTTTAACAGACATGTTAAAACAGTTTCATAATCTCAAAATTTTCACAACTATGAATTTCTCTCTCCCATATTGTTTTTCTCTTTGACAGATGTTTCTAGCCTTTTTTTATTCTTCAAATGTTTTTAAACCAATTTATCCAGATGCTTAACTTCATACAATTATAAATTTGGGATTTTTTTAAAGACTGTAGCACCGCTGTCCGGGCAAAATTTCACTCACGGCACATGTCTTCATTATTCAAAATTGAGCAGAAAAGTAGGCCATTAAACCCCATATCATTTCTGACAAAGCATTCATTGCACTTATTCCATGCAAACAGTATATGCTATAATGGACAGTATATATACCATTACTGCTAGGAGATAAAAGTTTCAATTCCTTCAGAAATATCATATATCTGTTTTCAAATTCACAAAACTTCTAAGCACCTTTGTGGAATAATTCATTAACAATTAATTGACAACAGAAAAAAAATTACATTCATAAAAACAAGATTTAGAGTACAACTGAAAAAAACTGAGAAACAGGTGACACACGTCAATAAGGAATACACAGTAGATAAATGATCATAATGTTTCAATTAAAAAAAACCTTAGAGCACAATTCGAGGAGAATTTAAACATAGAAACAGCATGATGATAAAGAATAAACATAAAAAAACAAGATGGTACCAACAGATAAATATTTCAATTCCTGGATAATTCAAACTTAGAGATGAAGCACAATGATACAAGCTCTGGCTATATTATTCACAATCAAAACATTTTCCATTGTTGCTTTCAAACAGAAAAAGATTATATGATACACACTATACTGTTCACAAGTGAGTGCTCCCAATAAGAAATAAAGTGTAATCATGTTGACCATTAAAGTATTATTGGCTGAAAATGGTGGTTATTTCTGCGTCAATTTTAATAATTTGCTGAAATAACTCTGACAGCTGTCACCTTGATATTGAATTGGATATCTGCTTATCAGTTGTAATGTAAAACCAATATGTGGGCGTTACACATTTATCATCCAAATACATACGTCATTAATATCTGTTTCATAAGATTCTGAAAACGAAATTTTGCAAGTCTTTTGTCTTTCTCTACATACCTGTAAACTTATAGTAAAAAAAAGTTCTTTCAATTTGTGAAACTTCGACAAGTACATATGTTATATATAGAGA